TCTGTCTTTTCTTTGAGATGATCTAATTGATTTAACTGAATTTTAATTAAATAGGGTCATCTTGGTATTTCGTAACTCTTACTAAAGTGTTTCAGTATGCTTGATAGGTTCAGTAGGATGCTTTGTTTGTAAAAGATAAAATCAATCTGAATGCATTTATGATGGAGGTGTGTGTTCAATGGAGGGCATTGTCAGGACAGACCTTTTGTCACTCCTAATTTCTTGCGTGTGTGTATGTGTGTATTAAGACATGTATCCTACAGGATGCGTTGTTCTCTAGCCTCTCATGAACTTCTTGCAAATTAAATCTTTTTTCACCAAAGGTCAGAGATGGGGTGGAAGGATGTTCCATGTTTTTATGAAAGAAGATGCAGTGTATATTTTAAAAAGTGACAAAATAATGGTTGAAATGCATTTGCATCTAGTTTTGAAACAGAGATAAGAATTATGTTCTATATGAGCAATTCCGTAACTTCATTAAGTTAGAGAACATTAATGGAATGTATTATGCATGCAAATAAAAAATATCTTCCAGTAATACTGAAATCTTCATCAGATGCAAAGATGAACATAGAAGAGTTACATAGTCCTGTACATTTTCCTTAATTGGATTTGTTGAAAGGATATCATTTTCTTTTTAAATAATAAGCTTTGAAAGAGCATGGGTAACTTTTTTCAAGGTATTTAACCTTTAGAATTTTTACGTACTTTAGGAATAATCTCAACTTTTCCCCTGTAATTTAGGAAAACTATAAAATTACAGATTTTTAAAATAGCTCTGTACACCTCCACAGCATTGAGCTGCCCACGTGGGCCTAATGTTCAAGTAGGTGAGTTGAGTTTGGTACAAAGGTTGCTGAAGGAGGTGGAAAAAAGCTAAACAGGCTTTCCATTGTATCCTGCTCCTTCCTCCAAGCAGCCTTTGTCACATGCTGACTCTCAGCAGTCACTTAAAGCTACCAGGAACCTGCACTGCAGTTCAAACGTGAGAAAAATGCTCAGCTCTTCAGGACTGAGAGCTCTAAGGATCTGCAGAGTTCTCAGGTGAGCAATAATAATACAGCCACAAACTGCCAGAATCAGTGTGGCTTTCCTACATGGCTATGGGCAGCAAAATCGCATCTCAGTTTGTTTCAGTGTGAGCACACAAATGTGCGAGAACAAAAACTGACTGTCACGGGGCAAACTGGCAGCTGGGGTTAAGGAGCATCCTCCTTAGGTATCCTTAGGTTCCTCTAGGTATCCCAACTCCTCAGTACTTCTGGGTCTCACATCAGCATACCGTGTTCCTCTTCCTTAGCCTTGTCTGGAACCTCGGATGTGGAGTCTTCCAGATCTGTCTCAACCAAATGCGTTTTGGAGAGAAATGTATAATAGCTCTGCTTCTAGATAGTGTTACTTTGCTTTGATTTTGTTATTAGTTGACTTTATGGGACAAAGGTATCAATTTTAAAGCTTCCACTTGAAAAAGCTTGGGAGTTACACTGGACTTTCACAGTGAAAAGTACCCCTGTTAAATAAGGAAATTTAAAGATACTGGTCTTAGGATTCTGAGCTTGCGTCATCAAGATTTAGAATAGTTTAAGTTTTTATCTTGGTCTGGATGGAGCTACAGTCTATCTGATGAAACATAAACACAGTGTATTTTGCAGTATTTGAAGGAATTGCTGTTCCATTTGTTCAAAGCCATTCCCACTCAACAAGAGTAGTGTTACTCATACTGAATAGAGGATGCCAACATCTCTGGTTGAGAAAAACTGAAGTCTTATATGGCTGAGGCTCCTCATATGAGCTTGTTTGTTCAGTAAACATTTTTAACCTTCTGGAGTGCTGTGTTTTTTAGTTAATGAGATGACTGTGAAAAAATTACAAACTTTTAAATTAATGAAATTAATAATTAGTAGAAATAAGTATTTTAAGGAGATGCTTGATTGGTGTAGCCATTAGTAATGCCAGAGGTTATGATCCCTTTCAGGCTTCAGATGCTTGAAACCCTATAGGCAGTGTTTTGAAAGTTGTAGTAAAATGCATACACCTTTTCTGCAGAACTTTTTCAAGACTTAAAAATATTACTTAAGCATTTCAAATAACCCTATGTCAGGGAAAAGAATATGCCCCCCCCCCCCCCAAAAGTATCTTCTGGCATGAATTCAGTTTTTTATTCAGCTTTACTGCAGCACTTTTCCCGTGGAAATACTGTAAGCCTTAGCCAGGTCATTGTCCCGAGTACCTTCTGCCTACCTACCATTCTCCACTGAAGTTTTGCCAGCATCAGGTTTTCAGCTGAATATAATCAACCTTACTGGAATTGAATAATAGGACCAAGAGCTTGGCATTTGTTATAAACCACAACTAGGTCTTTCTCTGTAAATGAAACCTGGGGATGGGTTTGGAGGAGAAGGGAGGAGGGTTAGGGGTAGTTTTTCACCTCTCACTGGAAAGCTATAGAGCATCTATAGAAATCTATTGGTTATGACTGAAAATACAGTGACCAAAATAAGCAATTTGTGTTTTTGTAAGTAGATCGGTACCTAAGCATTGTTCAGGGCAAGGCCTCAAGCAGCACAGTGCCCATGATGTGTACCTTGTTAACCAGGCAAAGGCTGTTGTTATGATTTGGCTTATATAGAAGCTACTCCTTTTTGATGCTAAGATTTATGCTGGATTCAATGGGGAATAGTTACTGGGCTGTTCTTTACGAGGTTAGCACTGATCCAGCCTTGCTTCCAGCATTGAGTTAACAATTAATAGGGACTAGCTGCCAGATTTTCCTCATCTAAAATAAGGAGCGAATGAAAGACAAATTTTTTCCTTAACAGTACCAAAATGATCATCTGAGTCTGTATTTCACAGAATGAGGCATAGCAAAATTTTTCCTTTATGTTTCTAATGGCCAAAATCTGAAGGCCTCTGAGAGGTTGCTTTATTTAGAGTCTTTCTAGATTGGTATAATATTGAGCATGCAATTAAATTGTGCATACTAATTTAAAAACCAGAAAATCTTATCATATGCTAGCACCATCTTTCCTGCCTGACCTATCAGAAAGCTGTGAGTAGTGCAGCTCTCTGTTCTGGCTTACAGCTGTAGTACAGCTCTCTTTTCTGGCTTTGAGTCACGTAGAGATTTGCCTCAGTTACAGGAATCCCCAGCATCCCCTTGGAAAGAAGACTTTCCAAGGCAGAAGTGCTAAAATAAAAAAGGCAGCATCTAATTAAACCATAAACATTGTTTACCTTTTTTTTGCTGACATGAGGAATTTCTACAGTCATGCTATAATCGTTTCCATGCTCATGCTAGCTGCCAGAGGAATATTAAGTAGGGAAAGAAGGAATAAATGGAATTGTAATAGCAAAACAAGTCTATTGGGCTTTTTCTGCTAGGTGTATGCATGTCTACTACTGCAGATGAAAAGATCCCTGAACAAGCAAGGACTGTATAACAAAGTTCTAGCTGGAAATACATAGTCTAGAAAACTACTCTATGGAAAAGAGAGGAAGGAATGAAAATAATTTCATTGCATCAATTTGGTGATCCAGTTGATGTCAGCCACATGCTATTTGTGCTGGGTAACCATTTGCATGCAGCAGCAAGTGCCATCAAAACTAGCACATCACAGAACTGGACTCTGACACAGTAGCAGAGTATGAATTAACTTTTCCAAATTTTAAGGTGGTTCATACTAATAACAATAGAGCAAATCTGCAATGAGATTACTTTGCTGTGACTCACTTTCTTCGAGCAGAAGCAGCATGGTATGAAGAAATCTGTTTGAAATGACACGAGGGAATTAGAGTAAGAGAGAGCAAAAGGGAATAATTTTCTTTTGAATTGAGGCATTATGTCATAAAGTAATTGCATTCTATTTTTTATGTGTATCACTTAAATTGGGGTTAAAATTGAATGTCAGTATGTGTTATTTGCATTATCACAAATTTCTTTGGTAATAGTGATTCATCTTGCCACATATACTGACTCCAGCGTAGATGAAAAACATTTCTCTTTGGCAACACTAATAATTATGCAGTGGGGTCCATAGTTACTGGCAGCCTATCCCTGCTTAAGCAATCGATCACTGAAGCTATCCAGAACAATTACGAAGTATATATCTTTATATATGACTCTGTATTACCCGTTGTTGTGTCTATCTACTGCAGATTTTTGTCTCATAAGCGTTCATTTAGGAGACTCCCTAGAAACCTGGCAGGTAGCACAGCAGACATACATGGGATTGCTCTGCTCTGAGCAAGGCATTGTCTAGGGCACCTGCCCAGTGCCCACTGGCTTCTCTGCTGGCACACAGCAGCCTTTTTATTAAGAAGCAGATGTCTTTCTGCACGTACTTATTTAAGGACCTATGGTATCTTCTGAGGCAACAGAAGCTTACCTGTCTATAAAGTAAATTGTTCTGTCAAGCAGAAAAACAGTACAGTGAAAGACACTAACTACACTGCTGGACTTAGATTTTGCTCAGTGTTGGGTTTACTTTTACAAGGATTGTGTTTGTCAGTGCTCTGTATTGAATCAGGAGGTGTATAATAATGTGTTTTTCTTCCATGTAAACTTAGGAAAACTACTTAATTTCTGGGTCTCTCAGCAACAACTTTTAGGAGACAAAAAATTGTCACAGCTGCTTTGTTCTAACTGACCCTGGAATGTTTGGGGTAATTTTTGCTACATTTGTTTGTTGTTCTACAGTGTTTTTTCACAAAGGTTACCCAACAGGTCAAAGGATTAAGAACATTAATTTATTTCCATAATGGTGAAGGGCAAATTTTTGTAGCTTTGAAAGGAAAATGTAAATAATTTACAGAATGGAATACTATTAGCGCCTGTATTTTAGTTCATCACGTTGGTTTTTTAATAACTTCAAACCTATTACCACAGCATTTTTGTTTAGTTGAGGAGTGGCTTATTAAGAGGATTCATAATTAGCCATCTTTCTTTGCCATGGCCCAATATGCTGGAGCTTATGATGTTATTTTTCTTTTGGCTGCTTCAGGTATGAATACGAGCAAGAGCGAGACAGTGAAGGAGCACCCATTAAAACCTTCTAGAAGATCTATGCCATGCCTTGCCCAGAGCCAGACGCATCCTCAGAGCCTGAGCAAGCACTCGTCATTTCTGCAGCCAAACCGTGTGCAGCCCCAGCCTTTGAGTGCAGGGACGTCGGCAGCTGCAGTGGATGTAGTGTCAGAACGAGGTAGGAGGTTTTGCTCTTGCAGGAGTTTGTTCCAGCTCTGATCAACTCTGATTTATTTAGATATCTACGGTTTGTTGAAGAAATGTTTTTGCAGAAAACAGCTACGCGTACTATATTAACAGGTTCTTGAGTGAATCTTTGTGACGTTTGAAGTGAGTTTTAAACTAATTTTTATTTTTCTCAATGATGACATTATTTCCATCTCACTGATAATAAGACAAAATGTCTTGCTCATTTATGCTGGAGAAAAGTATGAAGGTTTCGGTAGTCTGTCATAGAGGAGACAGAAAGAATAAACATTAGGCTTTAGGCAAAAAAAGTCTTTATATATGAACATGTAGGAGGAGATGCATTCATTCACGAACAGTAGAATCAGAGAAGAGTGGTATGGAAAGAATGAGAACAAATGGAGAACATCCCTCCAAATTTTAGCTCATGTGGAATAAGGAACTGCTTTTATTTTAGGATTTCTAATTTAACAGATACACATGCCTTATCAGAGAAACTAATGTAGTTGGAACCCCAGTCACTGTGTCACCTGTTGCCAACTCTTGCCATCCTCTATTGCCAGATCTGTGTGAACCTTGTAGAATAAATTAACTCATCTGGTAGTAGATTTTGTTAAGTCTTTCCTAGATGTTGATAGACACTAGGCACTAATTATTGTTCTAGTGAGTTATTTTATTGAGTTAAACTTCTCTCAGTAATAGACAGAAAGTCTTCATTAAAGTGATCTTGCTCTTCTTTCGATTGATAGAAAGTGCTCTTCAAAATTTCAATCCAGAGTTTGAGTTACTGACAGCTTTGAAAAGTTTTTTTTACAGTAAAGATTTTTTAACTTACAAAATACATGTAAATTCTGATACAGATATTGCATTTATTTCAGCTAAAGTGATGGAGACTTTGGAAAGCAACTTGCTTAAGCTGTCTAATACAGAATATGGTGATCCATTTTTAGGTAAGTTGTTGTCTGAACTGAAATAATGACAACTTCATGATTCTTTGATTATGCTTGCAGTATTTAAGTGTGCAAAAGGCCATACTTACCCTGAACTTCCAATTTTTTTGGAAGAGGAGACGTAGTGTGACTAGAGAAATGTGTGTTGTCATAAATTTCCTGATATTGTTCATCTTTTAGACTGAAAGTAGGGGCTGAAGACAGTCTAAGTGTCATATACTCAGTGTATCCTTTTCCCATAACAGTCCTTCATAAAACAGTTTTTAACAGTGTACTTGAAATTCCTTTAAAGTTGTTATTATTCACTTATTTTTTCTCTATACTCATGTCATTCACTATTATTGTGGCTGCAGTTCTGTTGTTGGGCTTTTTTTAGATATTCTGTATATTTGCTTTAGACGTTTATATACAAAAAGTGTTACCGTTTGGAGGCAAAAAAAAAAAGTAACAGAGAAAATAGCCATATTTGTACTGCTTTGCTATAATTTTGATACTGTAATTAAGTCAGAGTAAGCAGGAAAGAAGTTGTTATTAGAATAATCCCGTCCTTGTAACTGCAAATTCAATCTGTAAATACACACATGGGTAGTAATTTACAAGTTCCAAGATGAAGTAGTTGCCATCTATTTTACCCATACAGACACAGAGATATTTCTGCACCTTACACAACTGCTATGAAAGATATTTTTGCTCACAGTTGATGAACATCAGACTAGAAATCATATCTTCATGCTGAATGAAAGATACCTGTTTTCAGAAAGCTTGGTCTGCTCACCTCCCACATGATTTAGCATTGGCTTTTCTTGATGCCTAAAATGTATGATAGATAAGAGGGCTTCTCAAGGTTTCCTGAGTAGGTAACTGCTGGAATAGTGAAATTGATACTTCTTCAAAACCAGATACTCCAAAATCATGGCACAGACCAAAAGTTTGGCATGAAGATTATATAAGAAAATCATGTCTTAGGTTCCAGTTAAAGCTGCTGCCCTTTCCTAGTCTAATTGATTGGCAAACGTGGATACTAGGAGTTTTTACTGTTATAATTTCCTTCTTTTATTTATTTTTTTTTTAGTATCCTGCTCTATTTTTAATATCCTGCTCTGTTTTATTATGTATGGAATTGCTTACACGTACACATGCTGATATTGTTGTGTATTTATGTATGTCAGCAGTAATTCTTTCTTTTAATAATTGATGCTGGTTTTCATTCCCATTACTTAGTTTTAACCTGAAAAGATACATGGAGGGCTCAGCAACTCAGGAAAAGATAGACTGATTCTTTTCAGTTCCAAATTGTGTTAAATTTTGGTGTGGATATTTCTTCTCTTCTGGCTACAGCTACGCTCCTGGAAGAAAAACTATTTAAATAGTTGCCCTTTTCTAACCTGATTAATGAATTTGCCCATGTTGAGTCAATCCCAAATTAGATAAGTGAAATCTGGGAAGTTATTCACAGTTATAGAAGTGTAACTGATTAGGTTAGTCAGTTATAAGCAAGAAAGAAAACAGTGTTTAAAAATAAACGCCAGAGGTCAGTAATAAGAATTGCCAGCATTTTCTGTTAGATTCGTGAAGAGAAATAAGGGACAGTTAAAAGGTGCATGTAACAAAATGGCCTGTATACCTTCAAAATACAGTTTGTTGGTCCTTAAATATTGTGTTTATGTGGGTAAGAATTTGTCTCCAAGTCTAAAATTTTCAATTTTATCTTGAGTCTGGATGTAGAGGGGGAGGGGAAGTAAAAAAATCAACCTGAAAAAGGAATATTGCAGCCTCAGCTTTGATGATCATATACAATGCTTTGTAGGTACTCTGGCAGTTTCATGCAGTTTGAAAAGAAGGTTGATTAATGGGTATCACCACCTTAGTGAATATTTTCAAACTGCTCTCCTGAGAGCATGAAAGAAAGCTGAATTAAGTGAATGTGGTGAATTTTAAATTAGGCAGTGTTGTAGAAATGTAGGCCAAAAGAGGCTTTCTCCTCTTCCTGAATTGTTTGTAGGCAAAATTATCTTGTGTGGAGGAGATTAGCAGGCATCAAATAAAGGACTTCAGTGGAAAGCTTCTCTTTTATTTCAGTTGGCTATAGCTGAGGCCATAAATCTGTTGGACAAGCTTAGTTGATGATGTTAATGGATTTATGAAGTAAAAAGACGATGTATTACACCTTTGTTAATTGCACATAAATAAATGGGATACATGGGATCACGGACATGGCGGATTTGTGTTATTTTTCCTCTGTCAGTTTTTGGTGGTAAGTAGTGTTTTTAGTTTGAGGAAGCAGTACATTCGATCCAAGTGATGAATATTGAGCTTCTGTCACATATAACATGAACTTTGAGGTTTCAGGCATAATGGAATGCCCCTCTGACTCACTCCCCCCCACATCTGGTGGCAGAGACAGAAGGTGGACATTACTGGGTTGAAATAAGAACAAAAGTAACACTCAGTAGCAAGTAAAACATCACTAATTTATTCTTTTTTCAATTCTGCTTTTTTCCCCTACCTTACATTAGTTATGAGGATTTGTGCATAATAACTCATCTTTCTTAGCAGGACATGAAAGCCTTCCTAGATAATTAACAATTTTGCTGTGACAGGTACCTTATATTCTGAATCTATCCTGAATCCAATTAGTACAGAGTTTATGTATAAAAGACAGCATATTTATATGCTGTGCTGCAATACAGTTAAGTGACAAATGAAGAGCTGAACCAAAACTAACAATCCAACAAAGAATTATAACTGCATGATAAAAACTACTTTTCAATGCTCAATTATTGAAGTGTTTGTAAGTCAATTTTGTGATGTTATGATAAGTTGAAAACGGGCATATATCTATATATGTATATATATGCATAACCTGTGCAGTACATACAGTGCTTATATAAAAAGAGGGACTGAAAGATCACAGAAGATATGATTCAAGGAAACCAGGTTCAGTTTCTGCTTCAACAGAAATGTGGTGTTTCCATTATGGCCTCTAGAATAATTTTATCCTAAGCTTGTGGTTAGTGCCTACATGAATAAGGGCTGTCACATCTGTTCTGGTTGTGTAGTGAGGTGGCTGAAAAGCTGCATAAGAACAGTTTGTCTTGTACCCAGAGCTGTCCAGCTCCCATATTGGAGCTGGTTCATGCCTGGAGAGTTGGCAGTATGGATGGAGAAGCTATGTAATCTATTTAGTGCTCGTGGGGACCTAATAAGGTTTAGTTTTTGGACTTAGTATGCAGTTCAAAATATTGATGTGCTTTAGACATTTAATCTATCTCTAGCAGTTTTGTACACGATCTTAACTCCTCTAAAGAGCAGTAATATGTGACTGGCTCCCTTTTTAAAAAAAATAGAAATATTCTGTGTAATGGTTACCACTGTCTGAAAGTTCATAAGAAATTGTACATTGAGAAAAGTCTGTCTTTGTCTGTTACATGTGGAGGCACACAGTTGGTGGTGATTGGGAGTGGGGCTGATCCCTAATTGATCCCTAATTGGCTCCAGCTGTGCAGCACAGGTGAATGCTATTGAAGGTGAGGAGCCATGGAGTGCCCAGGGGTGCTGCCCAATCCCACAGGGAGCAGAGGGCACACAGCTGCACTGCATCAACAGCAGGGCACAAAAGGGCGGGGGCTGATGAGCAATAAGCAGCAGGTGGCAGGGAGCAGAGGGCACACAGCTGCACTGCATCAACAGCAGGGCACAAAAGGGGGGGGCTGATGAGCAATAAGCAGTAGATGCTTGAAGCTGCCTTTGGTGTAGGTTGTGGCTCCACTGTTGTTCTGGTAATTATGATGGTTTTTCATATCTAAATAATATACATGCACAGGTAGGTGAAAACCTTTCTATGTTATCTGTTTAATATAGCGTTCCAGGTACACAGCAAAATAAAATAATACCTAAATCCATCACAATGTCATTTATTTAGGTGTCTAGTGATGTGCTTCTCCATGCTTTTCCTAGGATTTAAATTAGGACAAAAGGGGATTATTTACTTGACCAATAATCTCTTTCTTACTAAAGCTTTGCAAAGCCTATCCTTAAATATGTAAAGGCCCAAAGTATTGAGTAGAGTTGTCATATCAAGTTTATGAAACAGAAACGATTTAGGAATATTTACATTAATTTTTCTTTCCATAACTATGCCACGTTTCAATTGAAAAACATTTGCTACCATACATCACTGTGTATGTATAAAATATATCACTGGATGGCAGGATACAGAGAAATCAGAACAAGTGTTTTTTATCCCCTGTCATAACATTGAAATGCACTTTTGGCTCTTCAGAAAAGTATGATAGTAAGAAAGATAGCCGAGCAGTTAAGAAGACCCAAAAAGAAAGGTTCAAAATGTGGACCTAGCTATCTATTTCTAAACTAAATGCTTCTGCATTATTGTGTCTTCAATGTTTTATCATGTCTTCAATGTTTTATCATGTAAGTGACCTTATAGGGCAAATCTTGCTGTCATGCGTCAAGTGTTGCCAAATTATATGTCAGGAAGCGTTGACAGGTTTTTGTGATTGATGAGGGTTAGGTCTCTTTCCTTGCGTTCCTTTTTCCTTACAGAATTTTTTCCCATAAGTTGCTAGGACACATTAACAACTGGGTACTTAGGGAAACAAAACAAGTGGCCAAGCCTCAGGGGAGGAGGGCATCTGGTTGCACTTGTCTTGTCCCAGAGGTTCTCTCTGAGGGGGAGATAGTGCAGGAGTGGGGCTGGGGAGGCTGCTGGGGGAGGGAATTTGCTGCTCTGGAGCCCAGCCCAGAGCTGCTTCTGCTGCCCCAGGTGAGCCTCTGCTTGTGAGAACAGCCCCTGAAGGAAGTCTTTGAGAGCTAAGACTTTGTACAAAGATGGATGTTTACATCTTTCTCCTGTTAGTAGGTACTCTGGAAACTCACAGAGAGGTCTTGTGAAGGGTCATGCGCATTGTGTTTATGTCGGTGAGACTCTTTTACCTGAGCAGCTGTGTTGGGTTTGTGTCGGTGAGACTCTTTTACCTGGGCTGCTGTGCTGGGTCTGCGTGGTCAGTGTTAGGTGGCTGGCGGAGCTGCAGGGCTGGCTTCTCTGAGAAGCTGCTGGAAGCTTCCCCTGTGTCTGGTAGTGCCAGGGGCAGCAGCGCCAAGGCAGACCTGCTGCTTGGCAAGGCTGGACTCATCAGCAGCTGTGGACGTGCCTCTGGAATAACAGATTTGAGAAGGGGGAAAAAAAAATACACAAGGGCAACTTCAGCAAGAACAGAGGTGGTCTTGCAGCCTGTAGGGAAGACCATGGTGAGGAAGGCTGTGCCCCTGGAGCCCGTGGAGGTTCATGGTGGAGCAGGGACCAGCAGCTTACAGCCTCAAGGGGCTAGTTTGAGTGGAATGTTCAAGTGCTAAATAATATTCCCCTTTTTACTGAATTAATATCATTACATAGTGGGAGAGTGCTTTTATGTATAAATAAGTCATTAACTGCTGAAAGATAGAATAGAAAGTATCTATGAATTTTAGAAAACATTTTTTTATAAATTTATTTCATTTTAACGGTTGTTTTGGGTTTTTGTTTAGCTAAAACAAATTTTGACTACATTTTAGGAAAAATAGGAGATGTCTCTAGGTGCAAGATTTTTTTTTTTTATGGAAGGGAGATACTGCAATTTGAAATATATGTCCTTGAAAGCATAAAAATGTTTAGCAGGTAAAGTGTGTTGGGCACAGAGGGAAAACTTTTTCATAACTTCAAGTTATTTAAATTTAAAAAGTTGCGAAAGTTTTTTTGTTTTTTAGTACTAGGTGTACTCATAATGTCTAATCCTCTAAAACTTCCCTCATAGAAACAGATTTTTAATAGAAGTATAGTCTTTCTTTCAGCTTAAATGATCTAGTTTAGGTTTCATAGGCCTGTCTCTTCATTTTACTGACTCCTAAAACTAAGAGCTCATCTAACCTAGGCGTAAGTCAAATCTGCAGAGTTGTTAAGTACCTGTTTCCTACGTTATATACCTACCTGAAGCCTTCTTTAAACTGCATTCATTTCTGTTGAGCAGAGAGCAAGTTGTATATCAAGTTATATCATTGTTTAAAATAAATAAAACCCCTGAACTAGGCACATTGACAATTAAAACAAGCTGGTTTGTACATTAAGAAATCCCATCACAAATTTACCATGGTTAATATCAATGTTAGAAATTATCAAGGGAATATTTAGTGTAATTATGTAGTAACTAAACTGAGGAAAAATTAGCACTCAGTAAATGTTCTGATTTTTAATATTGCATCTCAGAAATGCGAAATGTTTAGGGTGTGTGAGATAATTGTGGTTGTTTTTTTTAATTTCTGTAGTGCTTAGTGTAGAGAATTTAACTGATCAAGTTAATGAAAAATACTTAAATGTTGCAGATGAACTTTTATGAATTTAAAATCCATGAAATTCAAGATTGTGGTTCCCACAGCAACCACGACTTTTTTTCTTGGCTTCTATTTAGGGTTTCGAATTACTGAGCTAAATGCTGTTCCTAGTCCACCTGACTTTTCCCATGTTGATGTGAAAGCTGAGATGGGAACTTGACTCAGGATTTGTGGGTAAATTTTTTGTCTGAATATATTTCTTTTTCCGATTTGTCCAAGGTAAAACTGTGTGGCAATGATGATTCCATCTTTTTAATCTTTAACATATTTTTTCAAGACTAGCCATTTTCCATCATTGATTAAAACTTTACAGTCCAGCACTGCGCAGGCATTGCCCTTCATTTTACTCCTGCTGGGTGTGTAGGGCAAGAATTGTCATGATTCTTTGATGGACTATATGGGTGATCTCTGAGGAGGGGCCTCACTTTCCTGCAGCTCTCTTATGGTACTCAGCTAAGTTTTCATAAAAGCTTTACCTGAGCAATTAGAACTAAATCCATTGAGAATGCGAACACTTCCTCCACGAAGGCCTCCTACCAGCATCAGGTACACCTATTAAAATGTGTTCTGGGCACTTACTCCAATATCTTATTGTGCAAATTTTCCAATGGAATATCTGCATGTGTGTAGGGGAACTGGGCATTTCAGTTGCTTGTTTAGATTTAAAATATTACTTTGGTCTGCAGGCTGTGCCGCCTGTTTGGTGAAACATCCTGAGCCTCAACAACTGTGAGTCAAGCAGTTGAATAGTCATATTACTTTGTTTTTTAGAACTACTGCAAGGGAGGTTATGGACTTTTTTATTTGTAAGTTAATAAAAGAAACCATTTCTATTGACCTTCTACTAAAAATAGCCGTCACTTCTAATTTAAGATGAACATTGTAACGTTTCAAGTATGAAGGTTTAACAGGAAAATAAGTGCGTTATTAACAAGTGTATACATAAGATGAATATTCAACTGTGTCTGTAATAATGCTGTTTGTTTGTATCTGTTATAATCTAAAATGAGCCCATTGTTTTCTTCTGGTTTTCCTCCAGGCGTAGGAAAGGACAAAGATACGTACACAGATGATTCAGAACATGGGAATTATGATGCTCGTACCGATCAGTCATTGCTTATTCAAAATAAGCTCACCAGGCAGAGAACAGAACCTCGAACTAAATCATCTTTAAAGGTAATGGACACAAAATTCTATTGAGTTGCATCAACTGTCAGAATGTGCTTAAGTATTTTTAAAATGCAGTTTTTAAAGCAGCATATGTTGCAGCCTAAGCAAACGGGCATCTCATGGTAAGAAATTTAGGTGGCTCCCAAATTGTTGGAAATCATAAAACTTCTAAAATAATTTTAATTTGTGGTTTTAAATAACTTTAAATTAACTGTTTTAATTAATCATAAGCAGTGTGTTAAGTCTTAAATCTCTTCTAGTTAGCATTTAGCAAAGTTGTCATGAGCTGCTATTATGGGAACACAACTGCATAAAATTACTGCAATTAGTTTTGGTAAACTGAAATTACTTTTGTAAAACTGAACTTGATATGCTTCAATGAAGAAAGCCTGGGGGGAGAGAGATGTACTGTTGAAACTGGATACAAGGAGTACAGGATTTTTGGATCGCAAGGTCATTTTGCAGAAACCAGAACATAAAGAAGAGACTAAGTATGTGTGCTGGAGGAAAGTGGTAGTAAAATATGAACTAATTAGGGTGTTCAAAGAGAACAAAATAAGCAATAGAGGATAGAATATTAGTTAATGAAAGAGAATGATGTAATTTAGAACTAATGAACACAAATGTTGTTGTTTGCTAAAAATGTATGAATAGGTTAAAAAGTTTTGTATCAATTTTTATTTGGAGGCCGCAATTTTGCCTTGCTTGCTAACGTTAAGAAGACAGTGTTGAGGATTTTATTAATCCTGATGATTTTGGAGGGTGTTAGTAGCAATATTATAGATTGAGTGACAGAATCAGTGAATGGAATTCTCTGTACTGAAATCAAGGAAAATGATATAAAATCAGGGATTCTTATGCATTTTATTGACTCATCTGAGTTGTAGTACCCTTCTTTCAATGAAGTTATATTGCACAGAATTTAGGATATAGAATTCTGAGCATGGAGTGGAATTCTTGTTGTCTGGGAGGCCTCAGAAATTCTGAGAGTGTAGAAGGATGTTTATGTAGCAAATGGTCAGTCAAGAGTGATCTAGATAGAGTATAAGATGCTCCTTCTAAGCGGTATCAAAATGATATCTAGACACATCGAATGAAAGATAAAACTCACTTATACATAGGTGAACGTAGGAGCATTGTCAGGAACCTCAACTAAAGCCCTGGAAAAGCCATCTCATCTCACCAGATAAATCTGGCTTGCTGTCTTGCTTAGTAATTGCATAATTATACTATTTATCACAGTGCATTTTCTCCAGCAGTTAATCCACTATAATGTCAAAGAATTATGATGGATTTTCTGTTCACAAAATGTATTTTTTTTTTAGTCATACTTTCAACTAGAAGACCCTTAATTCTCCTTTCCATCTCCTTTCCAAGCCTAACTGCTTGCATACATATGGCAAGTGACTTGACCTCAAGAAGTTCTGAATAATTTTCTTCTTCACACTCTGGAAATAGTGAATTCTGCAGCACAGGGTTTTTTTTACTGTAGCCATCAGTAATCCTGTGTTACAAATCTCTAGTAATGCTTGAATTACTCTAAGCGTCTCTGCTGTACTCACAGCCCATGTGCTATTCTCTTCAGGAGACCATTTCAGAGTTGTTTCATGGATGATACCTGTGGCACTTTGTGATTTTGACACTGAATGTTTTCTTCATGAGTCCTACAACAGCTCTATTGCTTGTCACACTCATCTTCATTACTGCAGTATTCTGGAACACTGGTAGATGTGACCTCTGAGGCTTCATTTCATAGGATGCTTTTAGAAAAATCTTTTATAGTAGTAGCTATCTAATAATTTTTAAATAGGCTTAGAGGAAATTGTATTTACAGACTGGAAATCTGTGACATGAAAATGCAACTTCAGGAATGACAAATTACATATATATGTCATGTATGTAACCTTTCCTGGGTTACATTTTAATCTAAAGTGTTGCAATGAGAATTTCTTGTATTCAAAGATTTTTTTTTTTGTCTCTTTCTGCAAGACTAGCTGAACAAAGACAAATAATAATGGATGTTCTTGTTTGATTTTGTTGATTAAATAGACAAAGCCTTTTATGTTAATTGTGGCTGAAAAGGCAGAAAAACAATGTGGAGTCTGTAGAATTTAGATCGTGTTACTGAGCACTAAATAGTTTTAATAATAGGTAAGGCTGCTGCCAAAACAATCTAGTAACAGATGCTGTACTGTCTGTCTAGTAACAAGGATTTCACTGTGCTACAGCAAAATACTTTTTTTTCTATTTCCATGTAAAATATAAAATAACCACTAGTTGTATTTTTTCCAAGCCCTGCATTCAGGATGCTTATGAAGTTCATAGTCAGCCAGTAAACTAACTCTCTTTTAAAGTTTAAAGAGGAGTTTTATATTTGTATTAAGTTTAAACAAAAATACACTTTTTATCTTGCAGTCTTCGTAGGTATTGACCTACTGAAAAAATGGGTTCAGAGTTTAAAAACAGTTTTCTCATGGTGCCTCTGGCTTTTAATTTTGACAATTCCTTTTATCCCAACAACTACTCTGGAAACTTCCTTCTGTATTTAGAAGGACTGCTTTTGCAAATGAGGTGTCGTGGTTTAACCCCAGCTGGGTTAAACCCAAAATTCAAAACACAGCCCTGTACCAGTTACTGCGAAGAAAATGTACTCTATCCCAGCCAAAGCCAGCACCTGAAGCAACCAAGCAGGATTCTCCTTCCCTTTATCTTTGCCTGCTTCCACAGGAAAAAGGCAAGGGGAATTTAGATTAGTCTTAGAAAGGAGCACTACTGTTTTGCCTTTGGATTATTATAGAAGTCTTTGTGGCAATTAGTTTAAAAAGCCTTAGGGAAATTTCTTCCCCAAATTGATACAAAACTATCAAAAGAAGGCTTCTAACTCTTTCTGAGAGTGCTGAAAACACAGAATACTGCAGTACAGCTTCACAGCTGGTGAGTACTCTCACGTATTTGAAGTGTAAACTAATCTGTCACAGTAACAAGTCTCCTCAGTCTGACCAGATAATGAGAATGAGAAACACTGCATTGACCAGGAATACAAACAGTTTTCTCATGGTGCCTCTGGCTTTTAATTTTGACAATTCCTTTTATCCCAACAACTACTCTGGAAACTTCCTTCTGTATTTAGAAGGACTGCTTTTGCAAATGAGGTGTCGTGGTTTAACCCCAGCTGGGTTAAACCCAAAATTCAAAACACAGCCCTGTACCAGTTACTGCGAAGAAAATGTACTCTATCCCAGCCAAAGCCAGCACCTGAAGCAACCAAGCAGGATTCTCCTTCCCTTTATCTTTGCCTGCTTCCACAGGAAAAAGGCAAGGGGAATTTAGATTAGTCTTAGAAAGGAGCACTACTGTTTTGCCTTTGGATTATTATAGAAGTCTTTGTGGCAATTAGTTTAAAAAGCCTTAGGGAAATTTCTTCCCCAAATTGATACAAAACTATCAAAAGAAGGCTTCTAACTCTTTCTGAGAGTGCTGAAAACACAGAATACTGCAGTACAGCTTCACAGCTGGTGAGTACTCTCACGTATTTGAAGTGTAAACTAATCTGTCACAGTAACAACTCTCCTCAGTCTGACCAGATAATGAGAATCACTGCATTGACCAGGAATACAAGGATAAAGGCATATTCTTCTTCTCTTCTTTTTAATGTTTCTAATTTTTGCTTGTTTTGGAAGGGTTGTTGTATTCTTGAGAGATTGTGGGGAAAATTGCGAAAAAATTTGTTTGCAATTACTTCTTGGTGCCATTATCTTTCTGAGCAATAAGCTGCTTGGATACTTTAGCAGTGGTGAGCATGTCTTGCTGACATGATGAAAGTCAATGCACTTCTGTTTTCAGGAATTGTTTAGTTTTTCAGATTACATGCATGATACCTTCATAAAATCTGATTCTTGTTGTTACATTTTAAAGCTTTGAAAAATCAGATAATTTTCTTATAACAGCCAGCTGCCAGTGTATTCGTCTACTTTTCTTGTTTGCATGATAATGATCTGTAACTGGCTGCTTCCTATAGTGTAGGTTGGTATATTTCAGAATCCACAGATTTCGTACTGAAAAATTGTGAGTTGCTCAGACCCATGAAAAAGCTGTCATCGTTATCCATCTCTGCCAACTTTTCATCACTAGCTGCTCTTGAAATTGCACAGAAAGTACAATTTTATGTATGTGGTTCTGCCAAGGGGTCTCGCAAGGAAAAATGAGGCCAATGAGTGTCTGTTGAGCCAAAATGAATAGTATCTCCTTTGCATGGGAAATGTAGAAAACGAGAAGGTCCCTGAGTGAAAGGTTGATGCTTGAAATGCTCTAGTTTGCTAAGGAAAGGGAAGCAGGCTTAAACAGACTTTAGCTTGAGTGGAAGGCAATGTTTTCCCAGAGAAATGGCAAAATCAGTAACAGCCAATTCTTTACCTATTGATATTGCCTGTTTAGTAGCAAGATAGGAATATTTGAGAAATTGCTCTTCAATTTGCTTCCAGTCACTACATCAGTGTTACTCTCTCTGATCCTGTAAATTTTTTGTCTAGGTAATGCATTTTGCTATCTGGAAAGGTAAAGAAAGGATTTTTGGAACAAGGTTTGCATTATTATCGCTGTGGATTCAGGAACTATGAAGAAATGCTACCTATACAATAGCCTAATTTACTGCCTTTATCTGGTAGTCCAAAAATGCAGTCTAATAACACAGGAGTGAATAAAGCCTAACAACAATGATAACAGATAAAATCATTATCCCAGAACGGAAGGATGTCGTAAAGTGCAACAAAAGTTGACTTCATGCTTGTGCTTTTAGTGCTTGGCTCTCATCTCCTCTGCGATTTTGTTAAAAAAAAAAAGCCAAAAAAAAAGCTCAGAAAATATTTCAGGAACTTGAGGGTAAGTAGCAAGTATTTTCAACCTAAAGATGAAAATGTTTGAAAAGAAACATGTAAATAAAAATTTTCAGTGGTCATGTTAGTTTGCTTCTTAAGACATCCCTATTAGACCTCAAGAGCAAATGAGAAGAGGTTAAATATGAAAAAGCCTCCCTCCTCCTGTCTCCAAACATCCTCCACTGCTGCTCCCTCATATGGTAATATTGAACAGACTTCCTTTAAAAATTTTGCATATCACCTAACCCACTCCTTTCGTGAAGTCAGATGTTTTTCATAACATATACAAATGCATTTTTCATGCTTACCCTGTAAGTCTGAGTAGACTATAAATAGAAAAACATATCCTCTGTGAATAAGCTAAAGTAATTGCTAATCCTTTAGTTTACTCCTAAAAAGGTTAAACTGCAGTTTAATTAGGAAGGTCAGATATTTCTGGAAGTCTTTGTCTCCACAGAAAAAAAGCTTTGCTCTGCCCAGCAGTGTAGTCTCACAGAAATGCGCTAGTGTGGGTAATTATGGCAGCCTGTCATGTTGTCTTTGATGCCCAGGATAGTTTGGATGTCTTTGCATATGCAAATATGTCCCCAGTTTTCTTTCCTAGGTTATTTGCACAAGAAGAACATTAAACCATTATACACTTAAAATCATCAATCTGGTTTAGAAATTAAGTAATTGAAAGGATGATTCTAGTAAATCTGTTCATGGCTTATCCATTCCTACAAACACAAAATGATCAAGTCTAACTTGGATATGTGCTTAGAAAATTTCAGATAAAGTGTTTTATTTTATAGCTTTACTAAATATTTGCATTGTACTTCCACCTTTTTTTTTTTGAGCCAAAATTCCTTTTTTCTAGGCTAAATTGATCAATTTGTACTTCCACCTTTTTTTTTTTTTTTTTTAGCCAAAATCCCTTTTTTCTAGGCTAAATTGATCAACGTGTTTTGCCTTGTGTAAATTTCAGTTGAATGATAGTGGCAGTATTTTGAATTTTACACTTTCAGACATCAAAGCAGTGTGTCATGTGATTTGTTATACTAACCACAAACTATGACGCAACCAAAATTGTTGACACATAATAAAACCAAGAAACTGCAGCGGATCTATGCTATCAAAGCTTCAGGTAATAGTTTACTCTGATGCAAGCCAGTGTATTATGATTCTGCATAATGGACAAGCTTGAGTGAAATGGTGCCTCACAGTTGAAGTTCTTCTATTTAAAGGCTTTGAAAGAACAAGGTTAAATTAAATTGTTGAGCTTGCTATCTGAACTATATTGCAATACTCTAAAAGGTTTTTTTCAAAACAAACGAGTTTTCATTTGTGTGTAAATGTAAGAAAGCTTAACAGATGGGTACTGTTTAAAAAAATCTGGAGGAGTCAGGTGATGGAGAGGATGAGAGAATTTTGATTAGTCCTTTTATACACATTTTTCAGGTGAAACAGGAAATCTTAAACAGAATAGAGGAGAGTAATGTCTTTGCACAAAATATTTTTTCTGATGCTTTTCTCCTTTTCTGATCCTTTTCTCTGTTGAAAAAGGTGAAAGAATGAATTAATGTATTGGTCTAAACCAGCAGATAAATAATAAATGATCTGTGCTTGAATGCCCACTGTACTAACAGCTGATTCCTTGTGCTAGTATAGATGATATGCCCTGACTTATATGTTTAATTGAAATTACTGCTCTCTTTCATGTTATGGAGCTCCTTCATATCAACTGAAAAAATGCAACTAAATCATCCATACAAATCAACCATATAGATTCTTTTACTGGTACTTAATTACTTAAGTAATTACTGCATTACTGCTAATATAGGTGGTCACCTTGCTTGTGAATAGCACAAAAGTGAAACTAATGGTGCCAGTAGCATTAAAGGGAATCAGTCATGAAATCGGTGTAATATAGGCCAGGTTCCCTGCATGAATGTCGTAAATGGCTTCACTAGTGCACTTCTCAACCTGTGGGGGTTGTTCTCTGAAAGTGGTCTGGGATAAACAAGGAGAGAAGATTTCTTTCTACTGTCTTCACTGCTCATTATGTCTTTAACATTGATCCCAAATAATTCTGTTTGATGTTGATGAGTATGAGGTCATATTTGGATACTGTCATTAATCTGAGGAACAAAGCATGTTTTTCTAAGACTGAATAAAATCAGATGTTTCAGTAATGAGGAAAGAAAGACTAGAAATAATAAATCAAAGAAAGGCAGTATAAGTGCATTACAAAACGTGGGTGTAATTTGCAGCATGCCTGTATAGCAATTGCATGAGCAGAAAATGTGTTAGAGAAGTTATAGATCTCCCCTTTGGGGGAGTTTTGGCCAGGCTTTTTTGTATCTTATTGTGCCTGCATCATGAACCATAAAAGCAGCCCTGGTCTGGTTTTGTAAAATAATTGTGCAGGAATCCTTCATTGTTGAAGAGCAGTTTAATTGCTTGTGTCTTGAACCTGAAAAAGTTTGTGTTTTATAAACTTGCATATTTAAACTTGCACTTTTGAACCTTCAGTCTACTACCTCACCCTCAAATCTCTGGATCTTATAGATTTAGATCATTAAATCTACAACATTATAAAAAATAATGGTTTTACTACCGTTCCCATTCAGAATTCTTAGAAGCGACGACAGACCCTATATTCAGTGCACAAACAGTATTGGTTGACACTCTTTACTACCTCAATTTGGACTTCAGATATTATTTATCTGAATGTGAAGAGATACAGTGGTGCTGGAGTGTGTTCTAAGAGGGATCCAGGGCACAAGTCTTACATGGAGCATCTGAGGCAGCTGCTGTTGTTCATCTGGAGAAAAGGAAGCTCAGGCAGGGTGTTACTGCTCTCTACAACTACCTGAAAGGAGGTTTAGCCATGGGGGCTCAGCCTCTTCCAGTAACAAGTTACAGGACAAGATAAAACATCCTCAAGTTAAACCAGGATGGGTTTAGCTTGGCTGCTAGGGGAAACTTCTTCACTGAAAGGGTGGTCAGGCATTGGAACAGGCTGCACAGGGAAGTGGAATCAGCATCCCTGGAGGTATTTAAAAGGTGTGTAATGTGACCCTTGGGGAAATGGTATAGTGCTGGGTTAATGGTTGGACTCAGTGATCTTAGAGGTCTATGATTCTAAATTGAAGCTTAATGTACTTAAATAATGTTCCCAGGTGTAAGATGATGCACTCCTTTATAACGGTAGATGGTCTGAGACAGACTGTTGTTATTTTTTATTTTGGGAATTAAAAAAGCAAAGAAAGAGAATCTTGTTAGAATGGTTTAGGTTTTGCAGACTGAGGAGTTCTCAGAAGCACTAAATGTGTAGAAAGCTGGCAGTGAGAGATGTGGGCGTAAGAAAAACATTTCACATAGAAACAAGTGAGCTGGTATCCAGTATTTATAATGCTGATATCATGCACTGATACATGGTTCTAGTTTTGAATAGAGAAAGTCCCTGTTGAGTATAACTGAGTATTGTAAATTTCGTGTCTAAATAATCCAAGTAGGATTAATTTCTAAGACCAGTGTCATCCCATTGTTCAGAAGATGCAGCATTCATACTCATTTGGACCCATTTATGATGGGTGTAATGTATACTTCTTGAAACTAATGTTCTTCTGGATGGTTTATGTTTAAATGAGTGCTGCATTCTCCAGAAGGTGATCATAGTTTCTCAGTTTACCTTTTCAGATTTCAAAGGTTTCAGGACCTGGGGATGCTGATTCAGCTGGCTGAATATGTGTGCCCAGTTGGCCAAGGAGGCCAATGGTACCTGGCCTGTATCAGAAACAGAGCAGGGCTGTGATTGTCTCTCTGTGCTCTCATTGCAAGAGAGACATCAGGGTGCTGGAGTGTGTCCAGAGAAGGGCAGTGGAGCTGTTGGGGGGGTCTAGAGAGATTAAGTTTTATGAGGAGTGTCTGGGGGTAGTGGAGTTCTTCAGTCAGAAGAGGAGTCCTCTCTAAAGCTTCCTGAAATGACATTGTAGGAAGATGGGGAAATCAGCCTCTTCTGTCAGTCAAGAGGACTAGAGGAAATGGCCTCAAATTACGCCAGGAGACACTCAGATTGGACATCAGGAACAGTTTTTTCACTGAAAGGGTGGTTAAGCATTGGAAGAGGCTGCCCTGGGAGGTGGTAGGTCACCATCTGTGGAAGTGTTCGAGACATGACTGGATGTGGCACTTAGCTCTGTGATTTAGTTGTCACAAAGTGGCGTTTGGTTGGACTCAGTGGTCTTGGAGGTCCATCCTAACCTAATAAATCTATCATTCTTTAGTCTGTCATCAGTTGGTTTGGTGTCTGTTCTGGATCATGCAAAGCACAGAATGCAAAAATAGCTCCTTAGCAGCAGCATGTAAAGCAGGGTTTTCCATATGAGGGTCAGGTAATTCCTTGTGTTTGCAAGCATGGTGGGAAGGAACTAGTCAAGATTGAAACATTGCTAACATGGCATTGAAAAAGCACTTCAACTAGACTATCCATGCAAACATTCCGATCAATACAATTTCTTTTTAAATTTTTGCATTTATTTCTGTCTTGGAGAAAATACAGGTATGTTTGTTTTATAAAGTTTGCACAGGTACAAAGCTGAGAAAATTGCTTCAATTGACTTTATTTTTTTTTTAATTCCCAATTGAAAGTAGGGATAAACAAAAGTTCATATCAATACATACCACTGAAGAATTTTAGTGGTTTTCACAGTTGAAATAACTGGAATATATAACTGCAAAGCTGTTTTATTTTCTTTTGTTCTAATTAATTTGAAATCCTGAGCAACTAATGCATATAAATTTTTTGTTCTTCTGAACTTTTTGCATATTCATCATCCTTTAGATGTGTGGCTATTTCCATGGTTTAGGAAGTGCTATGTCATATACAAATCACAGTGGGGCTCTTCATCTTTATAAATGCCATATTTAGAGTATTTTTCTTTTATGTTTGCTAGAGTGACGCCATGGCATCATCAGGACTCTTCTTCAAAGATGGCAAAAAGCGCATCGACTACATCTTGGTCTACAAGAAATCAAGTCCACAGGTAGAAAAAAGAAGCACGTTTGAGAAGAATTTGAGAGCAGAAGGGCTGATGTTAGAGCGGGAGGTGAGTCCTGTAGCTTATGTGGCATAAAAAAACCCCTTTATAATACTATCCTACTTTACTGAACTCATAAAAGATTCCAGACAAAATTACAAGCCTTTCCAGTCAGGCTGCTGCCATCATCTGCTTAACAGTATTAAACTAATAAGAATAGTTTGCTAGTGTGTGTTTAAAATGATTTGGGGACACATGCTTGTACACAGAAGTTTAGCACAGTACAGAGGGAGAAGTTCAGCTTCTTATGACTGTAGACCAGAAGCAGCTTCAGTAACCCATGTTGTTGCTGTAATACATAACCTCCATGTCTTCGAGCAGAATGCCTGGTGTTAAATGTCTCACTGTTTCTCAAGGGGTTAAGGTTGTCACTTGTGTGGTTAATCTGTGGCTAGTAGTAGTAGTATTAATAAAAAATGGAAGAAAATGAAGCCAGGGAAACATTGCTTTGCATTTTTGCTGTCTCAGGAATGACCTGCAGAACAGGTATATGTTTAGTCCATTCTGTTGTAAGCTCCTATTGTTCATGTGTCTTTTGTCTTGGTTTTTCATCTCAGTAGAGTTCTAATACGTGTTTCTGGGTTTAAGCAATGAGCTTGCAAAATAGAGCTCACAATATAGCATGTTGAATATTCATAAATAACCATCCTGACTAAAATTTGGTTTTAAGGCTTTTAAAATTGTTACAGTATGGTAGAAAAAGTATCTGGTTTTGATCCAGTTTAAATAAGTAGCCAAATCTTAGCTTTTGTCAGTTCAGAATTATTGACATTCAGAAACAAATTGTTTTATAAGAGCTGAAATATTTTGTTTTCCACGAGTATTTTATTTTATCCACATCTTTTGATAAAGTAAAATATTTGAGGTGGTAGTAGTATGGATAAAATGTAGATAAAATTGTAAACATTTTAAGTGTTATTAACCATTTAAGTACATTTTCTTTTACCTTTACTTACCAAATGTTGCATAGTCAGGTTTTTGGCAACTTTAATCAGACTTAACTCAAATACAAAAATATCTAGTTAGAAAATCTCAAGCAAATACATCTGGGAAAAGGGTGGGAACTGAAGTGTTCACAAGAGAAGGTGAATATAGAAATCTGTAAGGCTGAAACTCTTGTTTTATGTGTAAATAAATCAGTGATGAAAAACGTGTGTAGAGTACACATGGTAATTTGAACAAAAAACCATCCCAGTTCATACACATTTAAAAATTCCCAGCAGATAACTCAATTATTGAATCATTCCCTTGAGTTACCATTTTGGCAGCCTGGAGCCTTCTCTCATCTGTTCTCATGTCTCTAGCAGCTGACCACACTTCTCCTTTAATGGGAGACACAGAGAATGGTCTTCAATCTGCTTATCTAAGGTGATTTTTTTTGAGATTTAAAATTAATTCCATCCAAAAAGGTGCTGCATAAAGTCTTTACTGCAGCTCTTTCCCTACAGATTCCTTTTGTCCCACTTGTCTACACATACTACAGAGTTTGTAAGGGAAAAAGGTTACTGATTTTCCTTTGTCTAGAAGAGCACTTATTTTCAGAGTTGCATGCCCAATTCAGGCATAAAATCAGAAATTGACCCTGAAGAATGCTTCTAGAAGGGTGATTGCTGTAGGTTTAAATTATTAATATGTATTTGCATGTTACTGCTCTTTACAGCCAGCTGTTACCAACAGTGATATCATGTTTGTTAAAATTCACTGTCCGTGGGAGACATTGTGCAAATATGCAGAGAGAATGAACATCAGGATGCCTTTCAGGTATTGTGGAAACTATTTTAAGCAACCTATAATTTAGTGCTTAATACTGAAAGTTCATCACTTACTCATGTCTAAAAATGCAGTCTTCACTGCCCTGTAGCCAGGCATGCTCATATTTATTTTAGTGATATGATAGGGAGAGAGGAGAAATAAATAATAAGTTCTGTGCTTTGCTCATTTCTACACAGCACTCTGTGTTACTTGTTTTCAAACTTGCCTTCTGAATCAAATGGAACGTATGTCTTTTAGAAAACAGTAGTTCACACATTGTTTTGGATGTTCTTGGCAGAGTTTCAGATATTCTCCATCTGAGCTTGAGTATCCTCCATGATTTTAGGGTTTGTCTGGAGTCTTACTGAAAGGCAGGTGAAATGAAAGGAAGTGTCCTCTGTGTCTACAATATAACACATATTGTCACAATTTGGGTAAACTGAGGTCCAGTAGCTTTGTTTAGGCAGAATAATGGCCTGAACTGAGTTCCCTGTCTGAATGCAAAACAAATTCTATCATATTAACAAATGAATAATTATTATTAATTTGTGGGACAGGTGAATATTTTCTGCAACAACACCTGAGTCTTTAAAGGAGAAAATGTGCCTCTTCAAATTGATTAATAATGCTCTTAGAGAGAGAGAAGAGCATATAGTGTGCATTGGTTCAAGTGGTAACTAGGTGCCAACGCTGTGTGACCCATGGGAAATGCCTGTACTCCTTTCCCACTCAAACTGCCAAGTGCTCAGTCTTTTATGCTATGGCACTGTGGCTTTCTTGCATTGCTCCTAAGACAGAAGCAGTGACTGTGAATCATCATGCATCAAACCTTGCTCCGCATACACAGTTCTGTAGAGAGTTTTCACATCATCCCATTAAGCCTTTAAAGGCCTTTCCTTAAAAAAATGTTTTCTGTAATAGTCATCTTCCATATGTTTAAAAATATTATTATAGTGCTATTTGAGTTTATCTAGTTCAAAAAATGCTTGCAGTATATTGAATATAGAAGTGTTAATGTGGGTAACATAAATAATCAAAATTGCAATTAAAATTTTTTTTCTCCTTTTGATACATTAATTCACAAAATTGTGTTTTAGCAGTGGTTTGAATTCTTCATAATTTCAGTTACTTTATAGATCTATAGTGCTCTCAGGACAAAAAAGCCTGGCTTTTGCAATCCTGCTTTATTTGGAAGGCATTCTAAGTCGTGTTTGTTTGTTATATTATTAAATGCCATGTAAATATATTCTCTTAGTGTTTCCCCAAAGTGTCTTTATTCCTGGAGTGTTTCTTTGGCTTCTTTTTATCCAATTCATTTTAGTAAACCAAAAGTAGATGAAATACTAAATTTTGCCATTTCACCTTTTTTGTGGTTTTGCTGTACAATGAAATACATATATTTGGGAGGAAATTTTTCCACCTCTACCTCCATAACAGAACTGTGAGAACTAGTAAATTGGTCAACATTCCTGTGATCTTTAAAAAGATTTTAATAGGAATTTAAATGATATTGCAGCCTAGAACTTGTGTGACTATTTCAATATATTTCTTGAATTTCTGTACCTTTTAAAACAGAAGACTCAACACAATTCTCTTACAAACACAAGCTGGATGTAGCAGAATTAAAGAATGGTCTGCCCTGCTTTGCCAGCAGCCTTTCTGAAGTGTCTCTCTAAAGGAGAATGAGCAGTTTTTCATGATACCTTCCTTCTCCCTTTATAGAAGGCTGTGCTTTAGAAACTTTATAGAACTAGAGTTCACGTCTTCATCTTTGTTGATATTTGCCTGGATGGCTTTTTCATGGATGCAAAAATATAAACCTCCGCTCCTGTAACAACATCCTGGGACCACACATTTTATAATTTAATTACATATTCTGTTAAGAACATTTGTGTTTGAAGTGTTGAACTTTCTTTTTTAATGAAGTGTTTCCTACCTGGATGGTGTATATTGTTTTCCTGAAATAACCATTCAATGGACAAAGGAACCTCAAATGCTACAGTTCTCCCACAATTAGTGATTACTCAGTGACCTAGAGCATCTTCCTCCTAAAAAGTTTCAGGTCGTTTTTAGGTAGATTTAAGTAGGCCTAAGAGGAGAAGACAGTTGGACTTGATGATCTTTGTGTGTCCCTTCTTGCCTGAGATATTCTGTAATTCTAAAAAGCACATTATTTCTTGTAGGCTTTATCTGTTTCATCCGTGGTTTCTGACTAGTTCTAGTACAAAAATATGTTGAAGATGACAGATAACCTTCCCTGCAGTATTTTAGTGTAGTATACCCATTTGCTCTTGCACAGTCTTGCAAAATTTTGACTTTTAGTTATGGTCACTAAAATATACCATATATCAATATCATATATGATATGATTCTTCACACATGAAGAATTCAATTCAAACTATTTAGTTTCATTTTGCTCAATCCAGGAATCTAAACAAAATGAACAGAGTTATTATCACACAGGTTACTTCTCTCTGTTTCTGAAAAGTAAAAATACTTTTGAGATTCATCCACAACCCCAGAACTGCTTTATCTTGGCATTATAGGAAAATGTGTTGGCAGATATATAATATGTATCATATGTGTAATATAGATGGAATCTCAGTGTTTCAATTGCAGAATGAAATTTTTCTAAAATTTCAATAGACACTGTGTAGTAATAATTACTGTCTTGTATGTATGGCTGACTTTGCAGTGCTCCTTTATTTGGAAGCATGGTTTCAAACAGGGTTTGTGTGAACATCAAAGCTAGGTCATGACTGAAGTACAATTTTTTAACTTTTATGGGTATTTTTGTTAAGTATATGGTCTGCCAGTAGAAATACAATTACTGTCTGTTTCTAGAACTGAGGCAATGCTTTTATTTTGTCTACAAGTATCTTGCGATGCATAATTATTTTTGTTTGTAGTTAATAAATTATTTGTAACAGCTGAACTCATCTGTGCAAAACAGCTAAGGGTAACTAAAGGGAATTAAATAAGGGTTTTGTTAAAAAAAAAGTCTGAAAACCCTTTAATACTCTGCATTGCTTCATTTACAGTCCTGCCTAGCAGTACCAAATGTCAGGCTGCCAATAGTCTGCAGATTGGTAGATACATAATTTTCCAGTGGCCATGAATTTTCCAGGCAAGGAGTCTTTCACTCTCTTTTTAAGGTATTAATTTCAGTGGATCTTCAATGTAAGTAATATACATACTGCCCAGGTGTGCAGTTGCAGATCTTACTAACTCCTGAGGAATCTGCAATATCAAGGCTTTTGTGTGGTTGAAATGTCATGTGAAATTATAGGAGGAGGCCAGAAAAAAGCCTGAAAGCCTGAAACTAGGTGTGGAAAATATAACCATGTGGCAAATACATCTCAATTTGGTTTCAGAATAACTGTTCTCAGAAGACTTTACTGGGAATTTCTGGTCTTGTTTCTCTAAGTGTCTATAACTGGTGAAGGGTGGAGAGAAAGGAGCTGTTAAGTGACTTAATGATCAGTTATCATTATTGTCAGTAGCTACAAATCTAAAATGTCATTTTAGAGCAAACTTGAAAAATGTGAAACTGTTATTGTAATGACTTATTCTATTTCAGTTGCCTTTTTAAAGTGTTTTTTTCATATTTTTGTCTATGAAAATGCATGTTTTAAAATGTCTAGCATTGTTTTGTAACGTGCATGTCCTTTTCAACTGTCTCCTATTTGATTAATCTCTGCTGATTTTTGCTGTTCTTTCAGGAAAAAATGTTATTACACTGACTGGAGGAGCAAAACCATGGGCAGGTTGGTGGGTGATGTGTAGCTTCTAATTTTGTCAGATAGTCACCCTGCTAAAGAAAACCCATTCGCAGTTGTAAATTTATCCGTGAAACTTGGAAAATTAGATTATTTTCCTGAAAACCAAAAACATGTCAGCTCAAAGTGTTAAAATATTCATCTGCAACAAGGTGCAGTACTTTAAAGCTTTGCCAGTTCTCATTTTAGAAATGTAAAAATGTTTATGCCAGGGAAACAAACAAAAGAGACCTTATCTTAGCAGCAAGGATTTAACACCAAATTTATCTCTGGCCTTCTATCTGCTGACACTAAGGCATACCTCTTTAGCATGAAGGATACTTTTGAGTGTGTCTCTCAGATTCTGGCAGTCAGCTACTTCCTTAGATATGCAAACATATTTTTTCTCCTTTGTGTCCTCCTGATCAGGAACAAATGAATGCCACATGCTGAAGGCTGCTTTGAATTTTTGTTTGCTAGCTCACACAACTTGCAAAACTGACTTGTAGCTAGCTGCTGCTGCTGTTGGTCTTTTTGTCAGCCAGAAGAAGGGTTCAAGAGGCTGTAGGGGCAGGGGAAAGGAGTCTGGGAGTGCTAGGGAGTGAGAGTGGTGGACACTGAGTTGTAGTTACTCCCCATCGCTTAAGTCAGACATAATTAATCCCCAGCAGAAAAGATAGCTGAAAATATTTCACAGGAGGTAAATATCCTGAAAGAGTTCCCCATCACAGATTTTCTTGAGATGGATCTTGAGATGAGATCACTTTTGATTTATGTTCTCTTGTTGTCACTTTAGACAGAGCTCTCATTTCTCTGATAGAATTTAGGGAGTCTCATGATAACAGTTTCCAAGATGATCAGCTAATAACAGGAGAATGTTGGTCAAGTGAGAAAACTTTAAACATTTGAGCTGATAACATATGTTGAAGTAAACCAATTTATAACATAGATTTACAACTGCGTTTTGTCCTCTTCCCAGTTCCCATGCTTGCTCCATTTTAGCATGCATTATGAAAGGTCTAAGTGAAATGCTTTGCAATAAAATGCAGAATCAACAAGCTTTACTTCCAAATTGTCTCATTTCATCTATAATCCATCTGGTGGGTCCTGGATATTACATAAATTTTGTTTTCCTTATTTAGAAGGACAGATATCTGAAAGATGTAACTGAAATTGCACATTACCTGTGAATCGAGTAAAAAGTAATTTCCAAGCCAAATTGATTTTGTATTTGAGATAAATGCATTTATGTGGTGAGAATTAAGGGAATGAATATTTTTATGCATATATTTTCTGGCACTTTATATAATTCAGTGCACAGAGGAATTGTGTGAAACAAAAGAAATAAAGAAGCTGTATTTAAAATTGAAAGCTAAAATTGCTGACATACACGTCACATACTTTTACTTCTACAATTGTCATTGTTACCTTGTATCTTGCAGCTTTTCCAGCTTAACTGCTTCTCTGTAATTTATTTCATATCTTGTTAAAATTTCTAAGTGTAGTTTCTATGAGCTATAGTGAAGAACTATATTAAAATTCTCGTATATGAAAATATTAAGGTTATAAAGTTTCTATGATTTAAGAATACCAAGTATTCTAGTATAATTCTAGTATATTAGACCTGCTGTGACATGTACACTTCTCTAACTTCATTGAAACAGTTGTATGATAGGTATATATGTATCTATAAATGTTCTTTAAAAGGTCTGCAAAAGATTATTACATGGATTAATGAAAGGACAAGAAAAATTTAATACTTAATTTCTTTTATGTGGTATCTATGTGGTCTCTCTATTTACACACATTTAAAAAGCCCTTAACATTGTATTTAATTCTATGAAGCTTGATTGCTATCCGTAGACTCACATAGAGAAATAAATCTATCATGTTCATTATGACCAATATTTGGAAAGTCTTCTTCTTAAAGGAAAGAAATATACATGTAAATAGGGTAGGTATCAAAAATGTCTGAACACTCCGACTGAAGACTGAATAATCTAGTAAAACTGTTTTGTAATTGCTGCATTGGACCTGCTGTTTTCATGCTGGTAAATGATGAGAAGGAGAAGAAAATGAAATATAGTTGTCTTAGTATGCAGCTTCACTTTGCCCACTGTAATGATAAAATTACTTAATACTTCTAAATATAGAGAACCAAAAATGAGTTTGTTTAGCACCTGACCCGCAGTAAGTTTGCTTTACAAGAGGACTTGTAAAATCTTTGGGATTTCAGTCTGCACACTGAAGTGAAATTGTTGATATCATTGCATTAAACCAAGGTATGATCATTTTCTTTTTTTAGTGATGATTGTGTCTGTTATGTTGAATCTGTCAGCCCTAAGGTGTTTCCCATTGCAGTACATGGAAACACACTGTGCCCAGGTAACTTGGTGGCATATAGCTGACACTTCTGGCCAGCCTTGAGAGACACAAACACCAAACAAACTGCTGGGTGATGACTGCTGTCAGAGCTGCCTAACATGACTGGTGAAGCTGCTTAATTCTGGTATCTCATTCCATGAGTTCGATCAGATAATGCTAACATGATCTACACACCGTGTTCCTTTACATTGCAGTCTGTTGAGTAAACATAGTCTGCAAGGATTTTTTGGGTGAACTTGTTCTGTAAAAAAAGACGAACCAACCAAATAAATCAGAGGGGTAGGACTGAGAATGGGAGTTGAGCAAAGCTGAAATTACAAGTATCTTCATAAAATATTAAATTGTGTAGCTGAGAATGAAATGCACGTGCATTTCAGAGTGATGTCCCTTGGTCCAAGGCATGCCTGTAGCATCAACTGGAGTGGTTTCAGTAAAAGCATACCTGAAGCAGTATCCCATAACTTTACTGCACCATTCCACTAGGACATTTTTTATCTCCTTGCCTGAACTACTGACTTCCCCAGAGCAGCTCTCTCTGCTTTCACTGTCACTAAATAGGCTACATTGAACAGATTAAGTCAGCAGTCTGTTTAAACTGCTACTTTTAGCCTAGAAAGCCACTCTGAGTAAAAATTCTAATACTTAGGCCTGTGATTTAGGCAAAAAATTTGTATTTAAAGGCAAGCTCCATGAAAATTCCGTTTCTTGTTCAACAGTAAAATAACGTAAGAAAAATGTCTCTCTTGGATCTTTTTTATACATTTCTCAGTTGCAATATTCTATACTATCTAGCACTAAAGACACTACATTTTTTCTCAGAAGAGAAACTGTAAATGTAATGTGGACACAAGCATTAATTTATTCCAATGCTGCTTTTCGTGTTAAAGAAAGCAGCCATGAATTTTAAACAAGAGCTGTGTTCTTTAATTTAATATTTATCAACTTTTTTTTAGATTTTTGTATGGGAGAAGAGATCAAGGCTTTTCCCATAACCAATTTTCGAGTACTTTCATAATGAAAGAATCTGAAATTAGATGCATTGTTTTTTCTTTTCTTCCTGATGCATCTGCCTATCTTCCTCATTAAAAAAAAGGAATTCTGGATTTTGACTAAAAAGTCAGCAAGTATACAACAGAAAAAAGGGTTCAAGAGAATAAAGGGGAAACTGCCCTTATATAAACTGTACTAAGTGAGCTGCTGCTGGAACTAATAAAGATAATCCACTCACTTACTAAGGTATTATTAAGGAGACAGTTAAGGAATCCACCTGCCTGTGAACTGTATTCTGTGTTCCAGTTTCATGAACACATTATGTTCTTTGGCTTACAGTGGCTGCTGTTGAGCACAAGTGGTGAGCTTCAAGTGCAATATCAGTTACAACAGAATGTGCACTAATATCTTGCAATATATAGCCAGAAGAAAATTTTGAGAATTTTAAATATAAAATCCTTCTCCCACATTTGGCTGAAATTTCGATCTGATACTGTGTGAAATACGGTTTTCTGGTTTTGCTGATGTTGATAATAATAAGTGCATTTTCATAAGGGTTACTTTATTGCATGAGAGCAATTTACCACATCATCACATATTAGTCTTTACTATGAACATAATGAAAGTAGGTTCACTCACATTATGAAATATTATAAAGATTACGAAATATAACTTTTTCTTATGAGCATTATAAAATGTGTAGCTGTTCTGCTTAGCACATGCAATGAAGTGTTCACCTCAGAGAAAATAATTTGTTGCTTAGCTTTACACTTCTTGTAGATATAAAATATATATGCTTTATATATCATGCATACATATTCATTGAGTAGAACCTGAATTCCACTGAAAAAAATACTATTTGGGGAACGTTTTTCTCAAATTTAGACTTTTTCTGAATCTCTGATGTGCTTATTTTGTCATTATATAGCACATTTAATTTGAGATCTATTCCTTAAGTAATCGTGTTGCATTGCAGTTGAATAAGAAAAGGTGTAGGTGAGCAAGGAGGGCACAACTGAAGTGAAAATTGCTTGAAAATTAACTGCACTTGACTAGATTTACCCCTGTATAAATGATGTCCTGAAACATCTTTTAGGCAAGGTGCCAGTAGAGAAAAAAACCAAACATTTATGTTGCCAATATGTAATTTAATTGAAGATACAGCATTGATGTTCTGTTTGTGTTTTGTAGCATCAATTTTTAAGAATCTAGAGGAAGCCTTACCTAGGGAGTTTTTTTGCCTAAATGCAGCATAACCATTTTGGTGTAACATAGCCTTTATTTTATTTGATATTTAGGTGTACTGTTTCATAAGGCAATATCAGCTCTTGGATTTTTAAGAAAATTTTGTAGGGGAAAACTTTGTTGCGATCAGAAAGCCATAATCTGATCCTTAGCACTCTCAAATATGCTTAAAAATTTTATGAATTTTAGTGTCCACGTTGCCAGGCAAGAGAGTGGGGAGGAGTTTCACTTGCTTTGTTCAGTGCAGCTAGGTATGTTCTTGGCTAAAGCATAAGCATCTGCAGTTCTGCCGGATGAACTACCTTGGGAAGTTAATTTCTCCAGACTCAATACTGCAGTCCTACTTTGAGTCATAATCCCACTAATTTTAGGATGAGTTTTACTCAAATAAGGTGTTCAAGATGGATTGCAAATAAATTTGCTTTTTGAATCCTTATTTTCTTTTGTTTACTTAATGTGGAAGTTGCCTGCTTTCATTTAATTTCATTTCTAGTACAATGTCAGTAAATACGCAGTGCTGGTGATAGAAATGACAAGGAACTGAGAGCATGTAAATCTGACTTCTTCTTGTCTCAGTTTGCAGAGGAATATCAGAGAGCTGAAAAGCTGGTTGCCAAGAAATCCCATGAAGCTGGATAAGGAGGCCCTGCCTGATCTGGAGGAAACAGATTGCTACACAGCCCCCTTCAGCCGCGCTCGCATCCACCAGTGAGTGCTGGGCCGGGGAGGCAGTGCCATGGACCACAAGGGTTTTGCTTCTCACTTCTGAGCAAGTGCCAGAGAGGTAGCTGCTGACAGATGGTCACTGGAAATACCAAGTATCATGTTTGATTTTATTCTCTTAAAGTGAAAATCCGCTCTTTGTTACTTGCTATTTGATGGTCACTCAGTAACGTAATGTGAAATTTGATGGAAAGATGAATGTTGCCATTTTAGTTAGGAATTTTTTTGGCTTTTTGTTCCTTTACATTGCCAAATGCAAATACTTGCTCAAGTTTTCTGTGCTTACTTACTTTATGTAGGCAAAACCTGTTGAGATTTGGAACACCAGAAGCAAGCTAAGACCACTGATGATTTTTTTTCCCCTCTTATCAGATCTGCATTTAAAAAGATCTATTGCCTCTGAAAATACAAATATCTATACAGTGAAACTGTACGTGTTCAAATCAGCATGTTGACAATGCTATATTTAAAATGTGACATAAATTTTGTCAGTACCTATAAATTTAGGTTTTAAAATTCTGTTTCTTGATTTTAAAGTTATTTTGTGCTAACTGTTTCAGGAGAGAAAAGTTAATTTAAAGTAGAAATATGAATAAGGATAAACAGGATTTTGCCACTCAGTAAAGAATCTAAATGGTAGTGAACTGAGTTTATTTACCCCCAGAAAAATAGAGTAATTGCATTATAGTCTCAATTTTTTTCCCAGTAACTTACCATAATGCACTGGATCAGTCCCCTGGTTTTGGTGTTTTTTTCTCAATCAGCTCAGCTGATGTAATGAATTGTAGTAACATCAGTTTTGGCAGAGCTGAGGAGGAAGAAGCTCCTGCATATCACATTTCTCGTGTCCAGAATGGAGCCATCTGGCCAAGGTTGCTTTACTTGGCTCCATCCTGGGATCCTCTAAGGGAAAATGGTTCTGGAGCTGCTTCCCAAGTTTCCAGTGCGTGGATTTTATTTTTTTTTAATAGTAATTTTGGTGGTTCCACTGCTCAGACAACTGTCAGCTCATAAGTAATTTAAGGCCACCACTGTTACTGAAGATCGTTATTTAATTAATTATATCCAGAACAGAAATTAACTAGATAGTAGGATATTTTTGGTTTAATCTGTGATAAGGATAACTTTATTGGACCTGCTGTCAGCGTGTATAACCTTATGTCTAAGGAATGTAAACATCCACTAAATAATTGTAAAAAGAAAACACTTGAACAGCTATGTTTCAACGTGTCCATTGTTTTGAATATTAAGACCTTCATTATTTTAATAGTTTTACGATAAACAACAAAGACAGCTTCTTCAGCAATTCCACAAGAAGTAGAATTGTGCATCATGTGCTACAGAGAACTAAGTATGAAGATGGAAAATCCAAAATGGGTGAGAATGCTGTATTTTTTACCTAACCCAAAGCTATAAAATTTTTCATCTTTAATTGCCTGGAAAAATATAATTTGAGTAAACTCAATTTTTTCCTGTTTTTGAAATCTTTTCATTCACACAGTAACAGAGTTGAAACAATGTCCCATCATTTTCTATCTACCTAAATACCTCTGTGAAAACTTGCAATATTTTTCACTTAATTACTCATTCATTAAAATGAAATGGAGAGATTATTGTAACTTTACATTATTGAGAGCCACAGTAAGGGTTACATATACCTCAGAAAGCTGAAAATGTTTTCAAGGACTGATCCTAGTATTTCAGCTCCTATCCCTCAGTTTCAGTCCAGTAGAATCAATGTGTGCTACACTTGATTTATTTGTGGTGTCTGTGTAGCTCAGAGACAGCTGATCTAAGACTAAATTCACTTTATATCAACACTCATAATACAGTGTTAGTTTTTAGAAGGTCTGATTACCCATTTTCAATGACCAGAGGATGCTTGCATGATTTTCAATATTCTCTGCAGGAATTAAAGATTAAATATGCAGAGGCTTTCATGATTCCAATTACTGAAAACTGTTGCTTGAGTTTCTGAACAAAAGCAGTAGTAAGAAAAACTGGAAGAATAAGTGTTCATATCTAACACCTTTGCAGCTGATGATGGGAAATTTCATTATAAGATTAGTTTAGTATAATTGGTATATTTGAAGAGACAAATCTGTATTGCACCATACGTACCTGTTTCTTGGGGAAACTTTTGTCTATAGATTTGCTCTTAAAGGCTATTGAGTCTTTTTGTTGTGCCTATCAAGGGTTATTTATTTTTCTTAAATTTTTATAATATGCTGTGCTAGTACAACAAATCTGGTTTTAGGAAGACTCTAGGAACTGATCCAAAATACAGTAGTCAGTCTGGCACAGAGCACTGCTCTGATATGAAATTGTCAGCTGGCTTATATTTAAAAATACCAGGTTTTAGCTGGTAGCTAAATAGCTGCCTAATAGCTTTTAACCATGCAGGGGTTTCACTGCCTCAAGGATTGTCTGTCTGTTCCACTCTGTGTATATCAGATCATCTGGTCCCCCATAAAATCTGAGTTATGTCCTCTGAGGAATGCAGTGTGAATGTAGCTGTTTTCTCACAGTCAATCTGGTACAAGCACTCAACCCTGAGATAAAGTTTTCAGGCTTTGTTGCTTTGGCAAGTTGCTCTCCAGTTTGAGAGCCAGAAATCTGAAAGCATCAGCAGTACCTGCTGAAGTAGTTGGTGGGGTTATTGATTATCATCTTTAGCAGCATTCTTATCATTTAACACTAAGTTACATTCTTCAAATGTGACTTGAAAAATGTGTATGAAAAATTTACGTTTGAAGTAATGCTTTTTTGGGTTTTTTTAGGTATTAATAGGTTACTAAATAATGGAACATATGAAGCAGCATTTCCACCACATGAGGTAACCTGGTTAATTTGATTTTTAGTTTCATATTTGGATTAAAGCTTCCACTAGTGGTTTGGGATCTTTACTTTAATTCTGTCCTGCAAACTTTTAATTTCATATTGTAATTTGTTGATGCTTCTTCTATTTATAGCTTTTACTTTAATATTGGCTTTTAAAATTTTCTGTATTTGGATAATTTGGATATTTTAATAACATCCTGGAACATTTTCTCATTGGACTGGGATATTACAATTCTTTTCTGATTTTTATGAACTGCACATTAAGAACTCCTGTTGAGTTCTTAAGGAGAGTGTCAGTTGTTCCAAATTGTTCCAGTTAGTTGTATTAAATTATTTTTGCTTGCCACCTACAAAAGGATTTGTTTTTCTAATAGCTTGGCCACTTGATCACAGTAAAGGGGGACTTCTTAATTATTTCCTGTTTAGTATTTTCAGAATAGTTCTGGATGATTTCTAATATGTACTGAGACTGAGTATTATTTAGAGATGGTTCTCAAAAGGACTATTCAGGCTGTTGACGGAGCTGGATTTGGTTTTTGTTTTACTTGTGTTTCCCTGTTAAGTGTTTGCAGAAATCCACTGGGAAAGTCTTCATAGTAAGAAAAAACAGGGGAGTTGTGGAATCCTCAGGATCTTTCCCCCTCAGGGAGACCCCCAGGGCCCTCCCCTGAAGGGATTCACCATGGAGACCCTCTGTACCTGGGCGGACAGAAAAGACTTCCCCATGCAGTCTGGCACAGCGCTGATCCATCCCAGTTCCTTTCCCCATTTGTCCCAAGTTCTCCTGGTTTCTCCTTTCCCCGTTTCCTCACAGGCTGTGGTACCCCTTGGCTGGCCCCTTCTGCCCTCGGTGCTGCCCCCATAGTCCCCCCTATAAAAGCCTGGTGCAGAGCACATGGCCTGGTCTTCTGTCTCTGGTTCCCCTTGGTGTGTTGGAATAAACCTCGCTGGAACTGACCCTACAAAAGGCACTTCTGCCTCTCTGCCACACTAGCCATGGTCAGCGTGGTGTGTGGACTTGCCTGCCTTGCCTGAATGCTCACCCAAGCAGCTTTTCCACAGGAGATGCTCATTGGGAAATAAGATACAGGCAGCAGCAATCACCATCTAAATGGTGGTATCAGCAACCCCACTGCTGCTATACCTGACAGTGCTTTTTCCAGTAGTTTAAAAGTTTGCTAAAGACTGTAAGCCCACAAAATGAACTAAAAACCTGTGTTTGACTTAAGAGGGTTTTCAGGAAGTCTTCTAATGTTGAAAAGAAGAAGCAAGCCACACATCTTCAGTCTTTTAAATGCTCTCAGGAACATGGCAATTGCAGCTCTGAACTCTGGGTGTTTCTGTTGAATATTGAGACTTGGTTTCGAAGTCTTTACAAATGGCTGAGAGTAATTTTTTATTATTAAATACTTTAGTTTTAATAATTAATTACTAGGAATGCAGAGAAGGAGTATTTTAGATAAATAATACATCATCATTGTTAATGCTTCAGCTGTGCATTACTGACTTCAGGGAAAAGCTGGCTGTACTACCATGAAGGCCTGTGAAGCTTTCTGTGGCATCAAAGCTGTGGTGTCATATCAATTTTATACATTCCTTTGTTATGGCATAAGCTACTGTTTCCACATCTCATTCAAAATTAGTAAAATCAGTTTTAAGCCACTCTTACCTTAATTGCTCCTTGACTGATGCTAAGGACTAGTGGTGGAACACTCAATTTTTTTTTTTTCCCACATGAACAAATAAGTAAAAATTCAATCCCAGTGGGAATGCTGAGACTTGAACTCTTTTATGGATAACAGTGCAGAAAGAAGCAGGGGGGAAAAACAATGAAAACATGTAATACAGGGTAATGCTTTGCAGTAATTTATCCAGCCTGCTGTGCGAGGTTGATGTTCTCTTCCTAGGTGCTGCACAGGTCACACTCAATGTTGACATCTTTGGTATGCTGCTGTGCTGACTCTAAGGAGAAAGGAGTAGACTTGGACTCTTTGTTGTGTTGAGCTTTGGTTTTAACTCATTCTTAAGTCAGAAAATCAGCAGATTGTAACAAGTTTCTAGTGTTCTTTGAACTGCAAGGAGTGCTCAAGATTTCAAATACCTGATAAAAATCTAAATGGTTTAGTTACCTGCATCTGCCAGGGTCAAGAAGCTGTCTGATCACTGAGGTGGATGCTGGAGAACTCTGCTCTCCTCACAAGAAGTTACATGGCTCTCTTGTAGTCAACAATTGGAATAGTTTTTTTACCGTTGCTGAGTGATGGAAGTTTTTTTGGGAAAAAGTTCAACTAAGGGATATGTCCTGCTTCAGAATTGGAGCAAAATTACAAATGCAAGAGATTCTGCTCAAGATTATTCCAGCAAATATGCGTGATACCTTTTGACTGCCAAGCGTGAGGCTACACTTTTAGTCTGTTAGGTGGTCTGTAAATGTCAGACATGGCCTGGAAGGACTCCTTTTGGATCAGACTGACACTGTTTTGCTTTTAATGCCTTGAGAGTAGCTTCAAAGTAATGCCAGTTCTGTTTCCTTCATCTTAGAAAGTATGTACCACAGAAAGAATATATTTTTCTATACCTTCAACAGTAGTGAAAGAAAGTGAGAGAAAATGTCTAGGAGAAGAGAGCTGACATACTAGAAATTTCTAAAATTTTATAGAAGAAATAAAAATATACCACAAGACTTTCTTGAAAAATTTAAATAGGTGAAAGCACACAAGTAGGCATCTATTAGTGAAATGAAAACAGAGCTGAGTACTTCTTTAAAGTCTTGTATTAGTATGTTTCAGTCATTAATTATTAGGGAAACTGGCCATTTCAGAAGTGTATGTAACCCTGCCTCTTATGTCAGGCTTACATTAGCTCCTGATGACATGTTCCAGATGTGCCCAGCATAAGAGACCTATTTATTAAATATAAAGAACATTTCCATTAAAATTATTATCAAAAATCCGTAAGAAACTTGTACATTTTCCGTAGTGCCTGGTATTGTCCTTACATTTCTTTGTATTTTTTTTTTCAGGGAAGCCACAAAAGCAGGCATCCCATCAAAACACATGGAGCACAGAATCACAGACACCTCTTGTATGAGCGCTGGGCACGATGGGGAATGTGGTACAAATACCAACCTCTTGATTTAATCAGGTATTAGTACTTTGAAGGTTTTCTCTGGTACAAAAAGCCTGGCAACAGTGTGCTAACTATATTCATAAATTCCTTATGCTTTCCTGTAACATCTAGATATTCCCTATTATTGGCTAAGGCTGGAGTTCTCTAAGTTGCCTATTTTGGGTGCTCTTTTGTAGGTTAATTTCAAATGAGTCTGCTTAAAGAACATGTAGTTACAACTGCTAAGGAATTTGCAGGGTGAAACTTAAAATACAAACCCATAATATGATCTGCTCATCAGAGACTCTCATCTCCTTTGAGAGCAGCCTTGAAAGCAGACTATTATCCACATGGACAATCAGAGTTACCAGATGCAGAGGACTTAAAATGCAAGCCAATTTTAACCTTTTCATGTGGGTTTAACTCTTATTATATAACTCTTATTTATAGGTCTTAGACTTAGTGTCATAGGTTACCAAATGTAAAATAGGGAAATACATATAATTTAAATTAAATAATGGTGATGTTTGGGTTTCACAGTTTCCTCCTCTGATGCTGAATACCAGTAATTGATTTTCTTTGCTTTAAATTTTTATTCCTGATCTGAGTCATAACCTATTATTGGTGGAGCTAAGTATGTGCCATGGGACAATTTTATGCTTTATCATCCTTCATTGACTTTCTGATCACTGCTATTTATTTCATCTGTTCTAGCAATTGATACTCCAGTTTTGAAGAATTAAAGTTCAGTATTCAGCTTGTGTTTTCAGAACATTGTTTTCACTAATAATAGTTGGAAATATGTCATATTATCTATGCATGATTATCTATCATAAATGTTTTTTCAAATGGAATACTTAGGTCATGCTAACTTACTTTATCCCTTTCCAGACTTTTTGTGTCTGTGTACATCCATCCATCCATCTATCTATCTATCTATCCTATGTTTAATAATGTTGCTACTAGTCCATCTACTTAGTCATTGCAAGAACATGAAAATTACAGAGGCACTACAGTTGTATGCTTGTTCTCATAAATCTGCAGTTAGTGTCAGTAAAATATTATGCTAGCCTGAAAAAAACCTGTTTGGTAAAGTGACAATTTTGGCATAAACTTGTAATGATAGTTCCTTGTTAGAATTATTCTACTACCGTGACAGTAGAGATAGATAGAGGTCACCATAAAATTTAGTTTTAAACAGTATGTGTGTTTCCTTTTCATGTAGGCGATACTTTGGTGAAAAGATTGGACTGTATTTTGCCTGGCTGGGATGGTATACTGGAATGCTTATTCCTGCTGCCCTGGTTGGGCTCTTTGTTTTCCTCTATGGATTATTTACAATGGATTCCAGCCAAGTAAGGTAAAATTCTATTTAATTATATGTAATAGCCTATTGTTAATTAGGAACAGTCTGGCACAACTTAGATTGCTGTACTTTTAAATGTTTTGCAGATATGGTAATAATGTAAGAATAGCCAAAATAGAATATTGGGTCTTTGAGTCATGTATTTACACTTTTTACATTTGTTTTGCATCAAGCCAGATGTGTACTACTGGCAGTGGCCATTCTTATCACTGCATTGCAGTGATTCCCACTGAGGAATTGTTGATCTAATTAAGGCTAATGGATGAAAAAACACCCGTATTCCCTTATTACCTCCATCTTGCTATAACTTCCAGAGTGTAGTACAGTTACTAAACTTCAACTTTTGCCTATGTCTTTTTTTTCTTCTTCATTAATAGTAGCAAACTTGGACTCTTAACAAAGTTCTTATCTGGGTCAGTATAACTTGCAGCCAGGAGACTCAGCTTCAGGGAGATTGCAACCACGTAAAATGAACCAAGTTTTCATGTTTCCCACTTTTGTGATTTTGCTCTGGGAAGGGTTTATGTCAATTTAGATGCTGTGATGAGGGTGCTCAAGTGCTGACTGTACTTCTGGGAACTCTCTGAGGATCCGCTGTGCTGCAAAGTATTCCATTAGCTGTTACCAGACTGTATCAGTATCTGTTCTTACAATTGCAGCTGTTGCTCCAAGCAGTTTGGGTGCTTAGGCTGTATGTATATTTGGAGTCAGATTTCATAGAAAATGTTGTTTCTCTGGCTGTGAGCAAGACCATATTCAAGTTTTTTTCTAAGGAGTTTTCTTTAGCTTCTATTTCACAGTGAGTTATTATAGTCTACAGTGCTGTAATGAACACTTTTTTTTTAGCTTGCTTTGTGCAGCAAACTCCTGAGAAACTGTATAAATTCAAAAACATTAAATACAGTTAAATGCAATAAACTTAACAGCCAGGAAATGATGCTATCTTTAATATACTGTATTAGGATTGTTTTTTATCATAGGTGTCTTCAAAATGTAGTGGATCTAAAGTCAAGGATCAGCCTGTTCCTAGAGCACAGAGACCACAGCTGTTGAACTATCAGTCTTGTATTTGTCATATGTACAATGGCACAGTTCCAACAAAGGGGGAACAAGGGGCCATAATCTACTATTATCAAGGTATAGCTTAGTATTTCTTCCTTGTGGAAGAGAAAGGTGTGTCATTGGCAACTTCTCGAAAGAAATACCAAAATTTCTAATCATTTCATTCTTTCAAAATGCAAGCTCTTATGTGCTTTTATATCATAGAGTCATGAAATATCCTGGGTTTGAAAGGATTCACAGGAATCATTGAAGTTCAGCTCCTGGGCCTGCATAGGACAGTCCCAAGAATCCCACCATATGCCTGAGATCATTGTCCAAATTATTTTTGAGCTCTGTCAATCTTGGTACTGTGACCACTTTCCTGGGGAATCTGTTCCAGTTCCCAGCTGCCCTGTGATTGAAAAACTTTTTTCTAACGTCTAACCTAAACCACCTCTGACAGAGCTTCATGTGTTCCCTCTGGTCCTGTCACTGGTACCCAGAAGGAGAGGAAGCTGTTAGATTGCTGTGAGATCTCCCCTCATCTCCTGTTTGCCAGCTGAACAAGCCAAGTGATTTCAGCTGCTCCTCATATGGCTTCCCCTCTAGGCCTTTCGCCCTCTTTGTGGCCCTCTTTTGGAGACTCTCTAAGAGCTTTATATCTTTCTTATATTGTCGCTCCCAAAACTGCACACCATATTCGAGGTGAGGCTGCACCAGCACAGAATAGAACAGGGCAATCACCTCCTGTGTGTCATGCTTCTCCCAGGAAGACTTGCAGGTATGACTCCTTTTTAACAGAAAAATGCAGTTATCTTCCTTGCTTGAAGGTTGCAGGGTGTTGTAAATGAGTGCAGAGGTAGGCTAGCTTTTGAGGGTTTCTGTCTTCAGTTTTGTCCCCTGGTAGCTGCAGAAAAAAAACACAAACAAAGCACATTTGAAAGCTTTTGAGGGTTTCTGTCTTCAGTTTTGTCCCCTGGCTGCTGCTTAGTAGCTGCAGAAAAAAACACAAACAAAGCACATTTGAGTGTGTCCCTGTGGGGCTGGTTCTATTGGGTCTCATCCTGAGGCACCTCAGTATGGTGCTGTGCTGCACAGAGTGCCAGCGTGCCCCAGGCCTCCGTGCTCTATGTCAGAAACAAGAGACTGAAAGGTAGCTAAACGCCCATATAAGCCCTGTATGCCTGCAAGGGAAGGTGAATGTTCATATATTTATTATAGCTATCATTAGTCAGTGTTCATTGCAGAATACTGTCAGAGGATGGGTTATGGCAGAAGTCCTAACCACGTGCTCTGTGGCAGCCCCACATCTGTAATCTGGATGTGTTAATTCTGTGAAGGAGGTGCTGCCTGCCTTTGGTTGTGTGAGTCTGTGCAGTCCCTCTGGTCAGTCATGACACAGCGCTGTCCTGTCAGTGCATTGCTAGGACTGTGTCAGTCAGAACAGCTGTGAAATGTGTGGCTCAAGCTGATTATGCCTGGCCTGATAAAATATATGTAGATGTTTTCTGTATCACCTTGTGTACTCAGGCAATTCTAAAGGCCACTGATAACAGATACTACTCCTTGCCATATTTTTTTACTTAGCCTGGAAGGTGTTAGTAAGGATTAGACAGAAACTTTGTACCTTGAGCAGACAGGAGTCATCCATTAGCAGGTAGATGGACTGCACACCTGTTCTTAGTCTTGCTGTAGTCTGATTGAGAGATTATTTATCTGGCGTTTTTGCATTCTTTTAAAGCAAGTTCTAGAGAAGCGTCTGTGAGAGTGTTAAAATCTATCAACTGATTTTAAGCACTGCAGCTACCACCACACACAAATGCAGTGTTCAGCGGCAATCGGGAAGAAATAGAATTGTATATGTTACTTCAAAAAAATCTAAACACAGGAAACCCAGTGGAAATTGGAAACACAATGTTATGGCATTATGGCAATGTCAGAATTGGCATGTTGCCCCAGATTCAATATTACCTGCTGAGCACTGTTTCATGTGAAACAGGTTTATTACACCTGTTATGAGGAATTCATGGCTGTTAGGAAGTGTTGATTGAAGAATGATAAATTCCATCCCAAAGCCCTATTTTTTATCTGTCTTGTGTACTACAAAATCTGAATTTAACAGATGATGAAATCAGTTTTGCAGAAGGATACTTTCCTCAGCGATGTGCCTTCACCTCTCAGGTGCAGGAGGCTGCCATCAGCCCAACTCTAGTGGCTGAAGGCAGGAAATGATACTTTTCTTTTTTCCCCCCCCATATCCAGCACAGTTTCAATAGAGAAGTAATAAGCAAATACAGGAGTATGCACTGCCATAGAACCAAACAGTGCTTACCATGCTAGCCATAGGTTTTGTGCAGCAGTAAGTTGAGGGTGATGCAGAATGATGCCACATCTAAGAATTAGTTTGTCTTGTTTGTAACTTGTCCAAGTGCCTGCCTCTGCTCCATGCTCAGGGTCTGCTAGAAGTTGGCTCTCTCTCTCTCTGTATATATATATATATATATATATAAAAAAATTATATAAGTATATACTAAATGTGAGATATATATATGTATGTATCAGCTTATGTCAGGAGCCCATCTCAGCACAGGGCCATGAGTCTCTGCCCTCTGTGTACAAGAAGATTCTCTCTGTAGTTCAAGTCTGGCAGCCATGGGCAAGTTGGAAATGGAAAAGAAGGAAGGGCTACCACCAAAAGGGAGGAAATATCCCCCTCTCATACTGACTTTTGCCTTTGTCATAGTGTCTCTCTTCTTTACTCAGTTATGTACAAATGATGTCATTTGATTGAGATCAGTGAAGATGTACCAGTTTTGTCTATCCTCTGAATGTTTGGTATGTTACAATTTAGAAAAATAGGCTGTAAATGCATTTGAAGGGTAGTGAGCAATTTTTTGTTTTTCTGTTTGAGATATTTGGGAGAGAATTTGCTGCTGTGAGAAGTGTAACATGATGCCCAGAAATACTGTATGCTACTCTACAGCCCATAGTGTTCAGGTTCCTGATTTGGGATTAGGCTTTCCAAGCCAAATATTCACTTCTAATTTATTTTATTTGCCCAGTTTTGTGGTGCACACACTGTTGACACACAGAGAATATAAATGGTATAACCTCAGAAAACCTTGTGAATGCTAGAAGTGTTTTTATTACCTTTATTTTCCTGTTTTGTACTACAGCAAAGAGATCTGTGAGGCAAATGAAACCATTATGTGCCCTATGTGTGAACGCAATTGCACACTACAAAAACTCAATGAAAGCTGCATATATGCCAAGGTAATTATTATATTATTACTGTCAATAATTGTGATTGTATAATGGCTGCCCTTGTTTCAACCAAGTTTCCTGAAAAACATTTTGTTTTTCTGCACATTTTGTTTTAAACCTTTGTAATACATCTTTCTAATAAGGGAATGCTCTGAAATGATCTGGGGTTTTTCTAAAATTCCTTTTGGTGAGCATTTCCGTATTAATAAATTAGTATTATTTTTATCAACTTATTAATTCCTCTGTGAGGACTTCATAATTAAAATTCTTGTAAGGTTTTTCTACTTTCCTCTCTATCTATCTTATTACTGTTTCCTTTGCTTACTTTGTATTTGAATTTTTGCTTCTTCTTTGCTCTGTCAAACTAATGCAAAGATTTTATACAGTTAAATATTTTGCTACAAGAAGCTATTCTTCAAATTTAAATAATCACACCAGAAATTGCAAAATACCTAGGTAGAAGAAGAAAATGAAATCAAGAGACAGTAAGCATGTAGAGGGAAAAAAGTGAAGAGGGTTTTTAGCTCATAAAAACCTTAAAATACAAATGGTTGAGATTAAGTTTGACCGACCATATGACAAGAATTCTGGATGAAATTTTAGTCTGTCTGGACAGGGACAAAACAGTTCTGTCTGTGAAACAAAATGACTGGTGATAGTCTGGAATGATAGTCTGGAACAGCAGATTTCAAGTTATAATGGAAGTCAGAGTGTGACATTGACAATCCTTGGTAGAAGAAACATGCTAGTATGAGAATGCTTAACTTTGCGTTTCTGATGCCAGTTATTTACTCTGGGACTGTTTGGGGAAAAAGATGAGGTGGCAGTATTATTTTTTCCTGATACGTTCATTTTTTTATTCAGGTTACACATTTGTTTGATAACGGGGGGACTGTCTTCTTTGCAATTTTCATGGCAGTTTGGGGTAAGTACATTTTTACTTGTTTTTTTGTTATTTTTAGTTCACCTGGCCCTTTTATATGATTACTTGACAAAGGAGATTATAGCTCTTGATAGAAGTTAAAGAAGGATTATGATTTTGCCATGCAAACTAATTTTTTTTTCATTTTCATTGGCTTAAATTTCTATGCTAGTAATGGGTAACACCTTCTGTGTAAATGTATATGTATAAACAGCTAATGTAATGATTTTCTTTGGGGTCCTATATGTCTTTAGGCCTGAATTTTATATTATTTAGGTCAAAGTCCTTTTAGAAGAAAACATGTGGATTGTATTACTGATCTTGAGCCAATATCAAAATCAGATCTTGTAGAGGATTCTTATAGAATAAATGAGAATGGTTTTATAGGAGCTAATTAGAGGAAAGTACAGACAAGGTTTGAGGTTAAGGGCTTACTGCAGTCGAGGGATTTCCATTTAAATTCTCAGTCTGAATCTCTTGTTATGTTCCCACTGCCATCGCACACATCGTGTTGTGCAGCTCAAAGCTGAGCAGGGGCACATCCACAGAGGACACTGCTGAGCACTACCAAAGCCAGTCCTGCCTCTTGTAGAAGGTCAGTGTAATAGTGCTGTAAAAGACAGATTGAAATCCTCAGTAGGATTAGCTTTCACTGCAGCTGATAATGCAGGATTTTCCTGTTGGGAAAAAGGGAAGCAGAAGAGAACCAGAGATAATTGGTTCTACCAGTGAACATGTTTGTCTGTGTAAACACTGAGAAATTGACACTAGTTCCCATACATAGAGCTGTCTGTATTCAAGCCAGACTTGTGCAGTTTTGAATGAAGTGGTACACAACAGCTTTATTGATGTAGTGTGTATGAATAAGTATTAATGACTCACTTATAGAGAAATAAGAACAAATGTCACAAATTTTGGAGGCTGGCATGGTAAAAGCAAGTAGCAATATATGAACAACAGCAAAACTTCAAATAGTTACATGGACAACAGAAGCACATCCCCATACATGCAAAATTATGATTGGCTTGTTAAAAATTAACATGATATAACTAAAGGGCACACTTTGATTACTTTCCTCATTGATGCTTCTTCATTTACTGCTAATCTTGCTATTACTGTCTTCCGATTATTAATTATTACTTTCAAAAATACAATGCACTTAATTATATATTTACCAGTGTAGACAACACAGGTAGCTTTTTAGCATCTCTTCATCTCTAAGCTCTTCTTCAAGAGAGCTCTTTCCATTTTCAACTGAGGGCAAAATTCAAGTGTAAGGAGGAATTTGCTTGTATGGCAGTGCTTTATCACAGGAAAGATGGCATTATATGGGCTAAGGAAGGTGAAAGCTAAGCATTACATTTTGCTTCATTTCAAGCATCAGAGTGATATTCTCATGTAAGGTAGGTGAATCTGTCTGAGATTTTCAGTCTGCTACCAAACAGTGCTGGATACTATGTTAGAAGTCAGGTTCTGGTATTGATGGGGATGACTGAACTAAAAAAAAAAAACAACCAACCAAAATTGCATATATGGACTGAAATCTTTAATATTTTAAATAAATGCCTGTTTTGCCCATATTCAGTATGACTGATATAGTTTCTCTCTGGGGTGTATGTGCATGTAATTTACTCACATATTGAATAAAACCTCATGGCAACATTCGCAGACAGTTAGTGAGATAATTCCATTCCATCAGTGTGATGCACAGTCTCCATGCTAATTAAAGTGTTTTAGCAGAGCATAATAACCAGGGCATATCCCACATGGTTAGTCTTCTCTGCACTTTATTTTGTATATTCTGTGCCTTTACAATTGTTTCTTGTACATATTCTTTATTTCTATTTAGACACGTCTGGTAATTGCAAGCAGATAAGCTATGCAATTTTTTGCACTATACTATCATAATTTTACTCTTTAGCTGGACAGAACTGGACCATGCTTTTTAGGATACCTATATATGTATCAGAGATAATTCCTTTCCTCTCTTAAGAATTTTTTCTATCTAATCTGTACTGACACATTTTAAATAATTTCTACAGATCTAGCCTGCAGTTCAAAGAGCAGATCTGTTTGACAGAGGAATAGAAGCTTGTCATCTTTTTTCCCATTGGTAGTGATACTGAATCGGTGTCATCTAATCAAAGGTTAGACATAGCTCATTTTACTCGTAATTCCATTCTCCCCAGCAAACTTCAAATAATCCAAATTAAATAATCCAAGTAAATTTAAGCAATTGTTGCGTATTCACTGAAGAAGGTACAGATGTAAATTTGGGAAAATAATGACCTGAGTAGTTTATCAGATAGAAATTGTATTAGGATGGAATAGGTTCACTTCAAAGTGGTGAAGCTGAGGATGTTTTTTGTATTGATACTAAAATATCATTGTAATCCCAGTCAAATTTTTCTCTGTACCATTGCTACCCAAAGTTACACGAAGCAGAATCTTACCTGGGTGCTATTTTTCTAAGAAAGCAGGTGTAATATCCTTCCAGGAAAAGCAGAGGTTGATCATTTAATTACAAGTAGAGGAGTGATGCTATGCTACTGAGGCCTCCTGTTGTATATTGGTGTATCTTGTGATTTTTCCTTACTTTTCAAGACATTGTTCACACAGTAATGGCTGTAAGGTAGCAATGGCCAGGTTGTTTTGGGTAAAATGAAAGTGCTGTAGATAACAGGCAAGAATGTAATCTGAAGCAAGCATTGCAGTGAAGGGTGGGATGGTGTGATGTCAGCCATTGGAATGCCATCAGATGGGCACCCTGCATTGTCTTCCTCTGTCTTGTCTGCTGTGAGGCACCTCTGACTCTTATCATATGGTTCAAGAGAGTTGTCTTAGTGAAGAACTGAAGGAATAACATGATAATATTTATATATATATATGGGTTGAAAGATGTGAATCAGTATCTGCTGGGTCCGTCATGGTTTAATTCAGCAGTCCCTCACATGTATCACATGTAAGTCCAGTTAACTGCTTTCTGACATATGGGAGAGCAAAAGATGAGGGCCCTGATTCATTATTTCAGAAGATAACTCATGTCCTAGCAACACCCTTTCAGCTCTCACATGGGTGGTCAACTTTCACAGCTGCTTCCTAATCTGATGTTCTGGCAGCTTTCAGCTCTTGCTTTTAAGCTGGAAAGGGCATAATGCTGAAATTTATTTTGATTTTATTTTCTATGGGGAAAAAAGGTGTGTTTGGCCTCTCAGTATTTGTTTAAACTTTTAAAAATAAGATCCAGGAACATGATATAGATGTCTGGACTGTGATTGCACTTCAGTACAAGTTTTTACATGTCTTCTCTCATGGAGAAGACAAAAGCAGTCATCTTGTTAAACATCTTAAAAATATTTTTACTTCTGAAAACAGATTCATCCTTAATTTTGTAACTGACATTGGATGACTAAAGAGTCTAATTTTTTTTCAGTTAATCAAGGTTTGGGAGAGCTTTTGAGCTATAGTTTTAAACTTAGCCATAATTCTTTGAACAGGTTCACTGATACTAGATACGATTTTCCTGATATTTCAGAGGTTAAAAAAAATAACTTGTAAGGAGGAGATACAGAGTTAAGAGGCCTATTGGTTAATCTAAAATTTTTAAATAATAAATTAATGTCAGTTGAAAGCTCATTTGGTTGGAGTCAATGATATCCTAATAGTTCAGTAAGACAAGACTGTTTAAGCAGCCCTGTGCAGAAATAAGAAACATTCTTATGCAAAACCCTTGCACTGTTCCTTACCTGGGTCACTCCTTGTGTCATCATAGAGCCATCTGTGGGGAAATGACTCAGGCCTCTTTGTAGCACATGTAAAATATCCAACCAGGACATTTAATACAGATCCCAAAATGGTTCCTGCAAAGATGCCAGCTATTACTTCTTCATTGTTGTTTTTGTCTGGGAGAAAAAGAAACAAAGATGAAACCGTTGAATGGTAATAATAAATCTATAAAACCAGTAAGTGAGACTTTTCAGCAAGGTTCTGAAACACTTTGCAAGCTATGAGTTTCTGCCTTTCTGCAGAAACTTTCTGCCCTTGGAAATGAAAGCAGACCTCTCCATCCTTGAGGTTTGGGGGAATAACGTGGGTTTAGGAAAAATAAAAAGGCAGCTAAATGAGTTTTTAATCAAATAAAAAGGTTTCAGGTTTAATTCCTGAATCAACAACTATTTTTTAATTAAAGAAAAAACCAGTAACCATTCTTCAAATGCAGTTATTTGTAAACATTTAAGACAGCAGTTAAAATTGCAGTCTCTGAATTTCAATTTCTGAGTGTACAAAGTTAAAAAATCAGTAATGATTCATACGCCTGTTGAATTAGCAGGATAAATGCATTTCTTCAAGATTTTCCCTCAAATTTCATAAAATTTTTCTTCAAGATACTCAGTTTTTCTTGGAAGTGAACTTGCTCTCTAACTCTCCTTCCTTTTCAGTCATTGTGAGCTAAAAATCAGGTGCCTTGTAATTATTAGCTATGTATTAACTATGATGGGAAGCATGAAAGTCTGATGATCCTTCAGTTCTTAGTACAAACTGTACTTTCTGTCCTGTGTTAAAAGCTTGAAAGCTAATTAATGCAAAAAATTATGGTGCCTTCTAATCTTTTCCTGAAGACCTGATTCAGAATAGCAGGATAGAAAAGTGCAGTGACAGTTTTATGTTCCATTGTTTTCCCACGCATACTTAACTTGGTAATTAAATGCACAATGAGTAATTTCTTTGGAACTGTTTTTAAGAAGTCAACTTTGGTCACAAAAATTTCTGAACTTTAGTAAGTTGATATGCTGTATGTTTTAAATCTAATTTCTACACATCATCTTTGAAGGTCCATTCCAGTGAAAATAGGCAATACCTGTCACAAGGTTCTCCCACTCTGGGAGGTGTTAAATAATTAATTAAAGAGTAAATAATTTGAAAAGTACATGCTTGGGTGAGCTTTAGTTTTAGTTTGTACTTGGTCACTTGTAGCTTCACATGTCTCATAAAGTCTACAGTTCAATTTAAAAAAAAAAAAAAAGGTTTTAGTTCAGCATTATAGTTTTATTAAACCACTTGGATTTTAGTTAGATCCTTACCTTCACTGGCATCTTTTGGTGATGCAGTAGGAGGGTTGCTGGAATTATGATTTAGCTTTGTTGTCTGCTGAATGGGGTTGAAATTTGGGGTAGGACTGTCCTGCTTCTCCATGGGTGATGTGAGAACGACACTGATGGGGAACAACATGGTGAGTATGACTGAAGAGTTGTCACTGGGATCACTAAAGCTCCACGGGTGGTGTAGATGACTGTGGAATGACTCGGTGGCACTGTGGAAGGAGATGTAGCTGCAGTGCTTTTGATGACTTCAGAAAAGTCACCTTTTGTTCACTGAATGTTGCTAAAGACATTCTGTGGATATTCGTGGCTTAGTTATTTATTCCATTTTTTCCCATTGCTACCTTTGAAGAGAAGGTGGTGCTATCAGAGGACCTCAGGGATATGCATTTTGCCCCACTGATAATTTCTGTTCTTTTCATTACATTCTCTTTGACATTGGTAGCTGCTGGTGCAGCATGACTTGTGGTAGAAGCACTTACTGAGGTAGTCGTATGCAGAACAAATCTCTGTGACGTTAGTTGCCCTGGAGACTGATGGTTTTTTGTAATTGAACTATTTCCTTTACTTGTTTCTTTTACTTCTCCAGCCTCAGTATTGCTTCTGTTCCATTGCAGCCTTACGAGCAGAAAAATGAGTCATTCCACAGGAAGGTTGCATGTTGTTGAGTTGAAAGTTTATTTTACACAGAACCTGCAAGAAATTCACTTTTGTTTATGGTTTTATTTAACCAAACCAAGTTACTCAGTGAAGACCCAAATAGGTTGGTAAAGTAAGTTAGTGTTATGCAATAGAAATCTCACTGATTTACCACATGTTGATGCTGGAGACGTTATGTCCCTGGGTGTTAATGATATAAGAATCACCTAAAATAATACCGATGATCAACAAAATTGATCTCATCTTGATCAATATCAATTGCAATATTGATCTCAGTGTGCTGATGGAGATGTTAGGATAGGATAACTGATGATGATAGGATAGCTCATGTGGGTGAAATGTTGTTGTGGAGGGCTGCACACTGCTTAGGATAGACAGACCAGGAAGGACATGGTGGCAGAGTTGTCTTGTGTGAGGCCAGACCTGGAATGTGTTCAGCTCTGACTTGGGGTAGGAGTAAGTCGAGAACTTATGGGTCACCATAAAGGGGATTACTCATAAGGGTGACACTGTTGTGGGTGTTTGCTACAGGCCAGCTGATCAGGGGAGAAAAGTGGATGAGGTCTTTTGTAGACAGCTTGAAGCACCCTTAAAGTCACAGCACTGGTTCTTGTGAGGGACTTTAACTACCTTGACATCTGCTGGAGAAGGAACACAAGTCTTGGATGACCCTCCTTGAGCAGGGAGGTTAGACCAAATGATCCAGTCCCTTCCAATCTTACCCCTTACCCATTTCATGATTCTGAAACAAAAGCTTCATTTTGTAAGAAAATTCCATGGTTCTATAGACAGACCTCATACTCAGAAGGGAATAATTCAAAACCACGTTGCTATGGAGTGAGGTAATGAAACATATATGGGTGGTATTCTCAAGGCAATGTTTTCTGGGCAGACAGCAAGTCTAAGAACATGCTAAAGATTTATGCTCCCTTGTGAATAATTAGAATTTTTACAATTAACCTGGAACGTTGATGGATAATGTTTTGTGGTCTTGAGCAGTGAGTGTCATATGAATGCTGCCAGGAGCAAATTGAAAACTAAATCAGTCCAGAGATTATGAATGAGGCTGAATTTGCATGCAAACTTCTTTTGCAATACAAAACCGTAAGCTGTGTATTAGGCATTAATTTTTCAAATGTTAGATTGAGAAGAATGAGAAAACCTCACACTGAAGCCGCATGATTATAGTAGGTCTGTTCAGCATATGTTGTTCAGAGAGGATTTGGTGAAGGGTATTTTTTCTATATATGAAACAGATTGGGATCATCCAGTTTTTAACTCCCACACATGAGCTCTCATATGACGGCACAGTAAATTCTATAATAAGTTATTCTTCAGCATCATTAATTATTTGGATGTTCCTGTATGTGGGTACTTCACCACCTGAATGAAGGAGATGTTTTTTTACCTGAAAAAAAGTAACTTACTTCTTTTGTCTTCAAGTCTGTCCTACTTCTTATGCTTTTTCCTATGGGTGATTTTTTTAGAGATGTAGTGTTTTGTTGTTTTTATTTTTTAGATGTTTTTTAGTTGTTGTTTTGGGCAGGGGGCAGAGAGAATAAGGGTTAGTATTATTAATTTGTTTGTTTGGGTCTTTTTATTGAGTTGTGTATCATCCCCAGCTTAGCTTCTTAGTATGTAACACTGTTAAAAGCAATGTGAAGAGCATATATAAATAAGTCCTGTATCATTATGTAGATATAGGTATAATATATATATATAACTAATTATCATACTAATTATGTATCAAGTATATATAGAAATCCAAAAAGATATTAAACATAGTACAGAAATATAGGTAAAAGTAGAAATATGTGACCGTTCTATTTATTTTGAGCTAGAAATCCTTCTTCTGAGCAGTTGGCTTTCTAGAAGGAAGTAATTTTTCTTACATCCTACTTGAATTCATTGTTTTCCAAGGAACAATGGCACAATTCTATGTTTTGTCAGGAGTCACACCCTAAACAAGGTGTCTTATCCTCAGTGGAAGACTACAGAGTTTTGGAAATTTGGAGTTATTTACTGGGTGTAATTATCTTACCCAAACCTCTAAGTACATGGAAAATCTGCTTATAGTCTCACACCTAGATTAGAAATAATTGTCCAAAGAATTATTCTGGTAGCAAAAGTGCTGCAGTATAAAACTGGTTTAGCTGGGAAAGAAGTGAGGTTCTTATTTGAACTGAATGAAGGGAGATAGCTCTTGGCTCTTTATTAATAGATATCATTGTGTATGTGTTTCCTTGTTTCTTCAAGAGAAGATTCTATGTTTTGAATAAAAGGAAAAGCAAAATGATGAATTTAAAGGGATGGCAGTGTCTCATGTTGACAGGTACTTATCTCTGTGCAGCTACTGCAGACAACAAAAATACGTTTCTTAGATAAACATTGTTAAGTAGTGTTTTAAATGTAACAGGGGTTATCCTGAAGCTACTTAGAGTTTTCAGATTCTGTGAGGAAAACTGTCCGAAAGTGGCTAATGATATGTTACATTGCTGATTTTCTTACGATCTGCGTGGCCCCTTTTTTCCCCCTGTAATTAAAGTACAGTTGTTTTCCACAGCAACAGTTTTTCTAGAGTTTTGGAAAAGACGGAGAGCTGTATTGACTTATGATTGGGACCTCATAGACTGGGAAGATGAAGAGGTAAGAAGAAACAGAAGTTTACGTGTAAACCATGCTATCAGCTTGGTTCAAGTCTCGGTTTCAGTCCATATTGTGTGTCAGTCATCTGAGTTTGTCATTGAGATCATATTTGTATTTGTAGCACTAGTATATTCTAGTAGAATAGAAAGGTATGCTTGAGATTGTACAAGGATACTTTGCCTTTTGCAACTAGCATTATAATTCTAAATATAATTCTACATTTATTAAAAGTATCCTTGGAAAAAATGAGTGCAAATACTTCCTGTACAGAGGACAGCACTACTTCTGATGTCAGCACAGATGCCTTTCAGTTCCATGATTTCTTGTTCCGGAAATTCCTGATCCTGCATAAAAATAGGACCAAGACAGCAACACAACAGAAACTAGATTTTGTATCCTTGGAGAGGCATAGCTTATCCTTGAACATTCTGCTGTCAGCATCAGCAATAATACATTCCATAAATCACTAGTCAGCATAGCTGTAGTGTACCTGTATTGGTGATTTAATTGCAGATTAAGTCAATAGACTTCACTTGTTTTACAGCTTTCTGTGGATGGGTAGAAGCTGGTGGCTGTTTTTAATAAATGCTCTTACAACACAAACAACACCATTATAGCTAGCCCTAATGTATAGTTTTGTTACCAATTTTCGCAGACAATCTCGTCAGCAATATGGACCATGTTTCTTTTTAACACCCTCACATAGTGGGGAAGGCTCCTGTGGTTTCTGTTCTTTGCTGCTCTCTGGCATTGCTTCCAAAGGTTTTCAAAAGAGCAAATTATGTAGGTATTTGAGTTGCAGCATGAAGAAAAATGACCCGTATCAGTATAATGTTCTACTTTGTAGCACATGTACGTCTGATTCTTGAGAGAAATCAGTAATACAACAAATGGAATCCACCCTGTCGTTCCAGGAAGAGCTGCGTCCCCAGTTTGAAGCTAAATATTCCCAAGTGGAAAGAGTAAATCCCATCACAGGAAAACCGGAACCTTTTCAGCCTTTCCCTGATAAGCTCAGTCGACTGATGGTGTCTGTCTCAGGAATATTCTTCATGGTGATGTTTAATAATATTAGAACTATTGTATTGTAGTTCATCTTACTCTGATGTAAATGGTAACTCAGCATGAGTGAGTTTGTTACGTAACATAGGCAGAACTGGTTGCCTGTTTTACTGCTTGGTCAGGGATCTCTGTTTCACAAGATGGAATATAGTTATACTGGAAAAGAACAGTAAAGAAATGTTGTAACTCATCTTGGTTTTTTGTTCTCTCAAATTCTGCTCTCCAAAACAAATATCAATCTTTAAAATGCTTGTTTTATTATTTCAGTGGATATAATTCCAGATGTGATTCCTTTTGTTCTAATACCTCTGCTCATAAATGCATACCTGTAGATTTCACTGGTCCTTACTGCAGTGTTTGCAGTTGTGGTGTATCGACTGGTAGCCATGGAGCAGTTTGCTTCTTTCAAGTGGTATTTCATCAAGAAGTATTGGCAGTTTGCAACATCTGGCACTGGAGTCTGTATCAATTTTATGATCATCATGTCGCTCAATGTCGTAAGTCTTCTGTTCTTTTAAAGGAGCAATTAATTTAAAAGAGTAATTTTTTAAAGCTTACTGAGTTATCCATGTATTAGATATATACATGTTCATGCTTTTTCATATAGCAGTGTCTGAAGCTAGTATTGCAGTGGATTTTTCTCCTCTGATGCAATGTTTGTTAATGTTTTTCTCTAATTCCTCCTTAATTTGTCACTGCACATCTTTGCGTATGTCCACAAGTTACAGGGGTACAGATTGCTGCATTTTACATTGGTATTTTTTAATATTACTTTTTGCAGTAGATCTGTAATTGGAGATGTAATTCTAATTGGAACTAAATTCTTTTCTTGTCTGAATTTGGTTTCTAGGTTGTTTTTGATTAATGACTTCTTATTAAAATGTAGCTGTGATATCATTGTTGCACAGTCCTGGAATCACTGTGATAGGTGATTTTGGTGTTAAGTTTTTTCTGTCATGTGACAGCACAGGTTTAATAATTTGCTGTTATAGCATTACACGGACAGAAACTCTGTTATTTCAGCTGCATGATTATTTATCATCTTTCTGTTCCCATGCAAGCACAAACAGATAAAAAGGAATAATAACCCAGAAAGCATTGGCTTTTAATTCTGTTAAGGAATTGAACTCACTGCAATAAGAAATAATTCTTCCAATCAGAGTCCTCTAGTTATTTCTATTATTATGTATGATCACTCCACATCATAAAATGTATATTCAAGTGAACAAGCAAAGCTAACAAAAATAACTTGCTATTTGTAGTATACTGAAGGAAATATATTTCAGAGTTGGCAGCTGCCTGGGGCTAAGAGGTATTTAAAATAAAGACTTGAGATGGTCAATATATAGAGAGAAGTTTTCAGTACAAGGCTGATATCCTCAGCCAGTGTCCATATTCATGCAAAGGAAAACTTTTCTGTGATACCTTGATGTTATAGAGCAAGAGAATACCATGCTTTGATGCTTGTTTTCATTGTGGATTTGTCATCACTACAGCCAGGATGTCCTATACTTACACCATTTCATTTCTTTTTTAGGTGTATGAAAAGGTTGCCTATCTCCTGACAGACTTAGGTATGTAGGTCCTTACTAATGGTATGGTTCTTGCTGGCTGTGGCATAAACCTTTATAGTATACTTCTTTATTTACCTTTAAAGGAGTGTTTTGAAAACTTCATCTATGAAGTACCTTTCTGGCATTTCCCTAAGCAAGTGAGAAATATCACAGAAAGAAAAGAAATTGTTATTTCAGTGAGGGAATAAAATAAAACTAAGGAATTTATTCTTATACTTCTAATTTTAATGTTTATGGTATACAGTGAAAAATAGTAATCTTATTTTGGAGCGAAGGTCAAAACTTATTCATTCTTAGCATGTAAAGGTTTTTTTTATTTTCCCCAAATGCTTGGTTTATTTTTTATTAATTTTTAATTTGATCTTTCAGATGGAAAAAAATGGGTTAAGATAAAATTAAGTTGTCCCAGATAAAAATGTTAAGTCATGAATTTTATAGTAGCTCCAATTCTGTAACATTAAAGTTTTATATGAAGCCTCTAGTCATGATTCAATCACAGACATAAAGCTTTCTAGCTTATAGAAAACAAGAAAGCAAAGACAGAATTTAAGATCTCTGGTTGTGTCAATGTGTTACTGTTTAGTGTTTCGTTTTACATGCTCACTTTTAGCCCGTGTCAAAATAGGAAAGTGATCTTGTCTTGGTTAAATGCCAGCTGGCTGCTTAAATTCCACAGCTCCCTCTTTTGGTTAAAGTATTAAATGAGGTGCTCAAAGTTTTATAGTGCTTCCCCTAACAGGCAGTAGAACAGGCTAGAAAAATGCAGAATTTATGGTCAACTTGCTCGAATTGTTAAAATATTTTGAAGTATTCTTTCATGGCAAAATTATTTCTATTCCTTTTAAAGTATTTTGTATTGTTACGGGTCATAGAATGGGAAAGAAAATAATTGTTTAAGTGTTTAAGGATTTTTTTTTTCCCAAAATACATAAATAAAAGAATTTTTTTCAAAAAACATTTCTTGAATTAAACATAATGGAGCATTAGGTGTTTCAGACAGGTAGCTCATTCTTCTTGTTAATGTGTTTTACATGAGAAAAAGACACCCTTCTGGCAACAACTGTCCTTACATAAAGCTAGTAGTATCCTGTATATTTCTATCCAAATTTAGCCATCAGTACATCAGAGTAGTTAAGCAGTACAAATTTTAACTGACAAATCCAGGCAGTTTAGGCTTAACAACTCATATGCTTTTACAACTCATGTGCTTTAAAACTTTTACCACTGTACTATATTCCAAATTTGATATGTCCATCAAAGATGGTTTTTGTAAAAATTAATTTGTAAACATGACCACCAAATTGTAATTCAGACATAAATAATTTTAAGAAAAGATATTCAAGGCAGTGCAGACCCACAGACAGCACTTATACCCTACCACACATTTCTGCATTTCTTTCCAAAACAAGCCAAGAGAGAACCTCTGTCCTTTTCTCATTGAATTATAAACTGTTTGGCCCTCCTCAAGCTTTATGTGAGGGAACTCTTAAGGATGAAGTAAAGATTTTACAGAAGTATTTAGAAGGTGAGAAGCTTGGATGAGAAATCAACTAGCTTTCAGGTGACTCTTTCACCTCTGCTTCCGTTGGCAGTACTGATGATTCCAAGTGCTTTCAGGTTTTTTGGGGGCTTGGGTTGGTTTGGGTTTTGTTTGTTTTGGGGTTTTGTTGTTGTTTGTTTGGGTTTTGTGGTGAGTTTTTTTCTTTGCATCAAGATACCTTTCATCTTAAGATAAAAAAATTCACACTGGTTTCCAAATTTTTTCATGGAAATGAAACAGCTATCTTCCCATAATATTATGTTTTATTCTGAACCAAGGGTTTCCTATCTTCTGTTTCCATATAGAAACGACATGGTCCAAGCCAGGGCAGTTAAAAGAAATCAATTGCAACATGATTGGGCACCATGACTTAAAACCATCATTTGTTTTGCTAATGTTGATTGATTTGTGAGCAAACTTACGCATAACTCAATTTCATTTTTGTTTATATAATGTGTATTTCATTTTTGTTTATATTATGTGTCTTTCTGAAGAGCACCCTAGAACAGAATCTGAGTGGGAAAACAGCTTTGCCTTGAAAATGTTCCTCTTCCAGTTTGTCAACTTGAACAGCTCCATCTTTTACATCGCCTTTTTTCTTGGCAGGTAACTTATCTTTGCCAGTTGCACTTCAAAGAGAACTTGCACAGAACTCAAAATCTTGACTAATTTTATAGATTTGAAGAAAATACAGGGATAGTTTGAGCTGTAAGGTTTAGGTATCAGTTGAATTCTGGGCATAATTAAAACACTAAATAGTTCTAAATGTATGGAAGGGTTGGACCATTGAAATGTTTACTCATGAAACTAGAGAGTAAAAATTCTACTTTTTTATAGGAACGTACAGTACTTTTCTACTAAATAAGAAGGCAGAAGTTTTGAAAATGCAGCCACTTCTTAGATGTGGGTCTGTATTTAGCTCTGTGTTAATAGACTTTATTAATATTTTCTTTTTTATTCTCCTTGAGTTGCATTTCCAAGAATGCACTTCTGTAAATAGTAAATATTGTCTAGCAAATCTTATCCAAGAGCAGGAAGCAGAAATTCTGGCTCTAATTTTTGTGTGTATTTTTAGGTTAGAGCATGAGATGAAGCAAGGTTAGATCTGTGCTCTATCTTCAGTTCAGTTTTGTTATGGTCACACTTACCATTCCTGCAGAACCTACAGAATATTTTGGGGTATCTTTTATAAAGTTTTATGTTATAATTTCATTTCAGGATTGTTTGGAAAAAAACGGACAAAAACAAACAAGCAAAGAAACAAAAAAGTCTAGTAGAGACTGTTGGTGAGAATCTGTTTGTTGCATTCAGTGGTGTAGTCACCATACAATACCAAAATTTCTGTGTGTGTTGTCTCTCCTGTATCTAACAGGACCAGGCATGGGTTTCTTTCTCTCTTTTATAACTTTCATTGAGGTCATTAAGAGCTGGGATTTGTTTTAAAAATCAAGTGTACACTTCACATGGGCAAGCAGATCCCTGTGCTGCAGTTAATTCCTATTAGTTGTAATGGTTTGCTTGTCTTCTTAGAAGTAGATTAGAGTTTGAATAGCTAACATCTAAAATTTCCGAAGCTGGGATTTTTATTCAGGATGTAAAAAAGTTTAGGATCACTTGCAAAATGATGGTCTTTGTTTGCATTCTGAAGCTTCCATATCTTACAGACAGCAGATTTAAGGCTGTGTGATTTATTCTGTTGATATTTCCTGAATTCAGTGGATGTTATGAAATGACTACTGATACAAGGTGTTTCTGGAATGTGCACCGAGAAATAGAAATCTTATTTTCCAGATTTGCAGGCCGCCCAGGAAAGTACAACAAGCTTTTTAACAGATGGAGGCTGGAAGAGGTAAACAATCCTGTTTTGTGTTCCTGTGAAATTGCCATGAGTAAAAAGGAAGTGGCTGAAGCCCAGTTTAAAGATTTTATTATTCCAAGTGCAGCAAATATTAAACTCTTATTTATAGCAAAGGATAGGATCGAGGAGATGGGTTTTTCCTTCTGTGTTCTCCAGTGTGCTGAGTGACTCTGCCCAAGGCACAAGAGTTCTTTCTGCCTCTGCCTTAGGGAAAAGCCATCAGTAATAGTCCCTTACCTCACAAGCACTGTGACTCCTGTGAGATTGGAGTCTTATGGTACTTGGAATTTTTTGAGGACATAAATATAAAGCCATCAGCTTTTTAATCAACTTGATAAATTTCTGTCAGCACAGGAAAAAAAAATGGAGCTGTTGGAATGGGCCCAGAGGAGGGCCACAAAATGAATCAGGGGGCTGGAGCAGCTCTCCTGTGAAGGCAGGCTGAGTTGGAGACAGCTTGGAGCAGAGAAGGCTCCAAGGAGACATTTTTACTGCCTTTCAGTGCTTAAAGGTGCTTGCACGAAAGAAGGAAATGAACTTTTAGTGGGGCCTGTTGAGACAGGGCAAGAATTAATGGTTTCATACTAAGAGAGGCTAGATTTAGACTAGCTGTAAGGAAAAGATTTTTTTAATATCATTTTAAAAATTATTATTATTAGGATGATGAAACACTGAGACAGGTTACCTAGAAAGGTGATGGATGTCTTATCCCTGGAAACATTCAAAGTCAGCTTGGATGAGACTCCTCTAGTTGAAAATGGCCATAGTTATTGGAGAAGTTTGGACTAGACCATCTTAAGGGATCATTTCCAACCCAAAATAATCTATAATTTTACAGAGTTCTAAAAGAAGAAAAAGAATATTTTCAGAATTTAACTTGAATGTTGGAATTGCAACTCACCAGTATGCTGAAGTTTCTTCTCTTCTCTGAAAAACAGATTTCTTCTACTGAAACTTGGTAGCCACAGAGTAAAATACTTTAACTTTTTAGTCAATTAATTGAAAAATAGTTCTGTAATTACTTAACATTTTAATATGGCAGTACATATTTATATAGACACAAATAGCTCTAGATAACATAGCAGTACCAGAAATGCTGCTAGTAAATCTTTCTGTAGACATAGATTATTAAAAAGGAAACATTGCTCCATTTTTTTGAAATGAGTAAGTGCTTTTTGGTCTAAGTGAAATGGTCTGTATCATTTATCATATATCTAGCTCACATACCTTTAAATGAGGCAATATGATCTAATATCTAACACTATGTCTAAAGGTTGTTCAGCTGAAGTCTGTTAATATTTATTTTATTAACGTTTCTTTTAATATTTCTGCAGATGGAGATTAGTGTTTTCCAACACACATACTTAACATTTTTATTTACACTCTGAACAAATAAAAAGTAAAGGAATTCTCTGATTTTAGCTGTTGATGTCTTCCACTTTGTTTCAGTGTCATCCTAGTGGCTGCTTGATAGATCTGTGCTTACAAATGGGAGTTATTATGGTTTTAAAACAAATGTGGAACAACTTCATGGAACTAGGCTATCCGTAAGTTCAGATGCTGAAGTTCATTTTAAAAACAGTAAATATGTGTTAGCATGATTCAGTGCTAGGGAGAAGTGGTTTTATGTTTGGAGAATGTTTTCACTCATTGCACGTCAGATATTGTCACTTTATTCCCAAGGAAAGCATTATTTTCCACTCTGAGATAAAGATTCTCAGGGTATGTTAAGCATCTCAGTTATTTATTCTGATTTCGTTTTCCATAATACAGAGATATTTAGCCTCAGAAATGGCTAATGAGCTGAGTCTTACACTTGTCTTGAAACTAAGAATATGTTTCCTGTGAAATGTTGATCATCAAATACTGACAAAATTGAAGTCTCAACCTTGAAAATATGTTAGAAAGGATTTTGCTCACAACGTGCAATTGCAGTTGTTCTGGACATGAGGGACAGTGTACTGTATGTTGTGGAATGAGGATTTTTGAAATTGAGAAACCTACTTGAACTGCCAGGCTTCCTGTCTTCTCAGCCAAGCAGGATGTTAACTTTGTCTAAAATTTATTTTAGAACATGCTTATATTCTGTTACGGAAAGAAATATTTTGTTTTGACAAAACCATTGTTTGCAACATAGGCAACAGTTTATCTTTCAAACAAACAAACTGCTCTTTCAGTAACGAGAGATCAAGAGCCAAACGCTAAATTAGGGTGAGAGAAAAAAGTGCTGCCTTTTTATAAAAATACTTACAAGAAAGTTATTTCCCATCTTTAGTCCGTTTTCCATATTATCTAGAAACAAATAGTAGTCTTTAGGTTGGTCCATGTGTCAGTACTAGATAATATTTCTTATTTAAATAACAGTTTAATTCATGAGACTACTATCTCCTTAATATTTAAGACTGCTTTGTGAAAAGATCTTTGCACAGCTTTATGAAGAATAGTCTTAAATATTTCCACATACAGTAACACCTTTTAAAATGCTTTTTCTGGCTTTAAGAAAAGAAGTATTCTGTAGAACATCTAGACCTTTAGGTTTGTTCAATAATATATTTATTCTACTATCCAGTGTATTTTACTATGGCATTCTTACTGAGTTGCACTGACCTGGTTTGTCTTTTACAGGATTGAAATAAAGCATTATTTACTTTTAAATGCACTTGCTATGCATGATTTTTTTATTATTTTTTTATTTAGTCATTCAGGTAAATCCTACCAGAATAAAAAAGACTATGCAAGCATGTTCCATATTCTGAAAAGCTTATTTGTACAATGCCAAACTTGCAACATTAAAGACAATTAAAATTATAATGCAGAATTATGAGAACTTTTAGAAGTTCTTTGCATTGTATCTAAGAGGATATTGTAAGATTTTCCATAAAATATTTAACTCATCATCCAGATGCTGTTCAAAATAGGCCCACTTATTTCAGACCAGTACCAGAAGATATTTTATATCTGTGAGCAGATACAGTCATTAATACTCTCTTTATCTAATTAAGTTTGTTACAGAATTGGTGGTCACGACGCAAAATGAAGAGAAGAGGGCAATCAATGGAGAATAAGATTTCTCTACCTCAGTGGGAAAAAGATTGGAATCTGCAGCCTATGAATCTCCATGGTTTAATGGACGAATATTTAGAGATGGGTGAGCAAATCTGGGAGGTGTTGGTTTTCTTCTGAAGGTAGAACTATGTTGCATGTTAAAAGATGTTTTGAATTTCCAATTTCTAACCACAGAAATGCCTGTCTAGTTTTGCAGTTTGGCTTTACCACCATCTTTGTTGCTGCCTTCCCCCTGGCACCTCTCCTGGCATTGCTCAACAACATCATAGAAATCAGGTTGGATGCATACAAGTTTGTCACTCAGTGGCGAAGACCCATGCCTGCAAGAGCAACAGATATAGGTGAGAGAGCCCAGTGGCTGCCACTGTCAGCTGCCTCTCTTTGGGTTTTCCTTTTGAAAACAACCTGAAGTATTTAATGTGTCAAGATGGTAACCTAACCAACAGATTTCAGAGACAGGTTTCCTTTTTGGCAACAAAAGGACAGTTGGTTGATTTGCAAAGAGGATTCCTCAAGTTTGTTTCCCGTTTGCAATAAGGAATCATAATAATTTGAATATTGGAAACAGGCTAAAAGTATTTCTGGCTTCTGATTTGTGGAACTCTAGGTCTAAAATAAATTGAATTCAGAAATTAAATAAAAGGACTGAATTAACTTGTAATTCAAAATTGAATTAAATAAGAAATCTCTTTCCAGAACCTCCACTTTGGCCTTCATAACAAAAAATTGCCATTATGCCTTGGTTACTTGGCTGTATCTTCTCAGCAGGGTGTGCCCTGTTGTAAGATTTCATTTGGGTGCCATGGGTGGTGGCTGCACTGTGGGACATGGCTTCATCTTGGCTAGTTTTTCTGTCTCAACTCATTCTCAACAAGAAAGGAAAACGTATGATGATTTATTATCACTAGTATGACTTTATATAACTTAATATGACTATAAAAAACTGACTACTTTGTTGATATTTCTCTTGTTTCTAGGTATTTGGTATGGAATTCTGGAAGGAATTGGAGTTCTGGCTGTCATCACGAATGCCTTTGTTATTGCCATTACTTCTGATTACATTCCACGTTTTGTCTATGCTTACAAATACGGTCCCTGTACAGATCAAGGGTACAGACAAGAAAAGTAATTAAGATATTCTTTATATATACATGTAGTTTTGAGTGGAAGCACAATTTACTGCTGTATTTCTATGATAACATATGTCAGATACATTTATTTTCATCTGTGCAAACATTCCCAGATGTGAAGAGTAAGTCAGCCATTCCCAAGAGTTTGCATACTAGCTCTTTATATAAGTGGAAAATCATCTCTTTCCTCCTGAATGAAAACAAAAATGTCTGTACATTGCATCAGTTTTCAGATCTTTTCTAGATAAGCTTTTCCTCTTCTCTGAATCAGGTGTATGCTGTCTTCTCCCAGTACATTCCCAAACACACATATATGGTGATTTACTCTTCATGGGCTGTCACAGGAAGAGAGAGTTTAAGGGCAAAAATAGTGAGGTGGGATAGGATGAAAAGAGACAGTATCAGAAAAATTTTAGTGCTTGATGCACCCTACCCATTAAGGAGAGAAGTGTGTAATTCTACTTCTTTTGTCAGTGGTGGTTTGAGGTATTACAGCAAACCTGAAGATCCAGATTATGAAAGGATTCTTCATGCATCTGTTCTTATATCTTCTTTGACTTTCAAATATGCTGAAGTTACAGGACAGATTTCAAAGAAGATAGGATATCTTTCATGTCTGTGGTTTTCAAGTAACAGCAAAAAATCACTCCTACAGTCATAAATCAATATATTTATATGATTTCTGCAATTAATAGTAATACATTTTACCTTTACTATAACTGTTCGGTATATATACACTGTTCATTTTACTGTTGGTGAAAACTCATAAAACCTGTTATTTTTTTGTGTATGCTGCATTATTGGTGGCCAATTCTGCAAGGCTGTTAAATTGTTCTGCTCTCTGCCTTTCTATCCATCTTTCGAAGTTCAGTAATTTTAGAAAACAGTTATAAAACATTATAGCAACAATTTTTGGTTTGTATCTCCCAGCAGGTAAAAAAGCAAAACCATAAGAAGTGCTGAAAATAGACTTTTAAACAGTGCTGTAGCTGAAAAAGGTGCTAGCCTTTTTTTTTTCCCAGTAAACTTTGCTTTTCTGCCCGAATTTTAGAATTGCTTTTGTCCTGATAAGCAAATAAAGTATTATGTTCACAGTATCTGATAGCAGAAAATGTTTGTATACAGGATGTTTATTGTATAACCACTTTATGAAGAAAGTGCTGCCCACATGGCTTTTTCTTTCAGATGCTTAAAAGGATATGTCAACAGCAGTTTGTCAGTATTTGATTTGAGTGAACTCGGGATGGGATACTCAGGATACTGTCGGTACGTTGCCTTGCTCTCACTCACTGTAATACAGGCATGGACATTAAATTAAACAGTAAATTAAAAGTGCTAAAATTGCTGGCATTTCTTTTTTGCCCGTAAAAGCTTTGGAGTTCATGTTTGTTCAACATGGAGGCCTCAGGTGCAAAGAGTGTGTGGTAGGATACACTGCTAACATATTGGAAATCAGTGTTGAAGTTTTTGTAGGACTCTTGCAAGCCATTATCTTTCATGTTCCTATGAATTACTTAATTTAAAAGTTTTACCAGCTGCCAAGAAGGGTAAAAATCCTCATTTCAATTTTGTTAAGCTTTCTGAAGTCAGTAAATTAAAATACACAATTAAAATTTTTGTTACCTCTCTAACCCAGGTTGAGATTGAAAACAATTATGCAAGATGAATATAAGAAATACAGCACAAAAATGAAATAGGACATGAGTGCACTCCTGTTTTCTGACTTAGTTTTGCAGTGAGCATTATTTAAAATTAGAATCATATTTCATTTATGCAAACTTTGTCTGGAAACTCTCAAATGCTTATAAGCAAAGACAAGAATTTGGAATCAACACACTTAACACTCCAGCTTTGTAACAATAAAAAAAAACATTTGCTCTGTTTTTTTGGAAGCAAAAAGTACTGTCTCATAAACAGCTTTATTTAATAGCCTGTGTTCTGGGCATCTCTCCCTTTCAGTTTATTTCCTCTTGAAGTCTGTTTCCACTTCAGTTTCTCTCCTTTTAGCCAGGTTTGGGATGAACTAGAGACCACTTGACCATGTCAAAAATTTTAATTGCTCAAGAGGGCACAGGGTAACTCACTGGGTTTCTCTTTGCTCTGCAGGTACAGAGACTACAGAGCCCCACCATGGAGTTCAACTCCATATGAATTCACTTTGCAGTTTTGGCATGTCCTGGCAGCACGGCTGGCCTTCATCATAGTGTTTGAGGTTAGTTGTGGTAGGGAGCAATCCCTTTCCACCTTTTACAGGTCTGAGTTGATTCTTTATGGTCATCCTATAAGTGAATTGTTGTTTTAATCAATTGTTCATTATAATCAAGACAGAGGGAAAAAAATTGTCTTGCCCAAACTGTTGACTATCAGCTATTTCAAACAGAATTGACAGAGTATGCACTTGCTGTAGAACTCCTCTAAAATTATATTTCCTTAACAGTCATCTTCTACATCATGTTGGTTCCCTGCCCAATGTTTCCTATTTTATTGAAAAAGAAGTGCAAGTTTTGTGTATGTTAGGCACAGTTATTGCAAGATAGAATAGATGTCAGGAGAATGACAGATGATTCTAGGCTAATATAAAAATAGAAACCTATGTCCTAAGTTGGAAGTATGTATTGCATACTACCCAGGACTCTGATTACCTATTCCCATGATAAGCCCTGAACAAAGACTGCTTGTACGTAGCGTTGCCATTTGTTGATCAAACATAGCATATCCTGTAGTCACATGTTCATTTAAGTCACTAACTCTATCCTTTGTTTTCCTTTTTAGAAAACTTCAGCATTTGCCCATTTCTTTTAGATCACTTACTCACATAGGAATGTTTTTATTACAAAAAAACCAAAGGAGTTGCCTTTCAGTCACAAGTTGAATCTCAGTTCCAGTTTTGCCACAGATTTTTAGGCTCTAAAGTGTAGTCCTATAAAGGAATACTTATTAAGGAATACTAATGTTAAGCAATTATTTTTGTTTTTCTTTTCAGCACCTTGTTTTTGGAATAAAGTCTTTCATTGCCTACCTAATTCCAGACATACCCAAAGACTTGTGTGACAGAATGAGAAGAGAGAAATACTTAGTCCAGGAAATGATGTATGAGGCTGAACTGGAACATTTGCAAAGAGAAAGGAAAAAGAATGGGAAACAGTATCACCATGAATGGCCTTAGTCACTACCATGCTACAACAAAAACACTGTTTGAAATTGGAGAGTGAAGTTGCAAAATGAAGTCTGTCTGGCGTCAGTGTGAGATCTGGTGGTGGTGAATGTGTGTTCTTGCTAGGCAGTACAGTTGCATACTTTGGTGGGCACAGAGAAATACATGTTTGCAGTGATGTCAATGAAAAGCCTTACCTGTAACTGGTCTGCGATGAGCTCCAATGACAACTGGCATTCAGAAATGTGCAGACAGAGTAAAAATCTGGACACTGTTTTTAAAAAAGGCTATGGATTTTCATGCTGTTTATGAAGATACTATCAGCATGAAGAAAACAGAAAATTACCTGTGAACCTATAGAGTAAGGGCATGACTAAAACCAACTTACGTGACATCCACTACTTGTACAGCTTCTGATTGCTCAGCTCCATCTGTAATGCCTCTGAAGAAAAGAGCAGTTGTTGCCTTTGTGGCCATGACTTGATCTTTCAGGCTTACTGTTTTGTCAGGTTTGTCCTAGTCTCTTGTTGAGATTGTGGATGTGGTCCTACCCTAAAAAAGGGGTCTGTGGCTGCTAAATACTATGCAGTTTAAGATTTGCACATCAGTGTCATTAATTTATCCATCTAGTTGAAAACCAAAAGTCTAAATTCAGAAAGAAAACAGCAACACCAGGAGAAGGTAATTTTCTGTTTGAAAATTACACAGCTGTTGAGTTGTCCTTGCACTTTTGTGTGTGGAAGGCCATCTCCACATGCTTCCAGGATGAAAGAACTGTCATTTTCATGCTTTCTGTGTTACTATTCCTCTTGATCTGCCTGGGTAATTATTCCATGACTTCACAGAGTGCTGACTTGAAATACTCCCATGCAGTGCAAATGACTTTCTCTTCAAAATGCAATTATATCTTTATAGTATGCAAGCTTCTGCTGATATATATGAGACATACAGTAGAACATTGTGGCTTGCTTGTTCAGGGAAGGAGAAGAAGAGCAATTTGTAACAATGTTTTACTTGTTGTAATAGTAAATGTTGCAGTAATGTACACTTCTTTTATTGGCCTAAATACAACATAACACTGGAGCTGGATATAGGCAAATATGTATACGGATTGTATATAAATGCATACACAAGATATTCACTATTATTATTATTATTACTATGCCTTCTTACACTTTGGGGAGGATTTTTTTGATAAAAATCACTAAAAAAAGTAGATGTTCATTGAAGAATCAAATTGCAGTTTTTATGTGCAAACAGCATACTGCAGTGTTGCTTGTGGTTAACAGTCACATTTTGGTGATGAAATTGTCTGTTACTAACATTTCATAATACAGGAAAGGCACTTAATGTTTAAACAAATTTGAAGGGATACCTTGCAGGGAAGGAAATGGATAAACAGAGTTACAGTTGTTCTGTTTCTCTTGTTCAGTTCTAAAAAATGCTTCTCTGTATTGGATGAGAAAAATCTAAAAAAACAAGAGTCAGCAAAGCACAGTACCTACAAAGTCTACAAATTTTGACATTATTTTTAGGGATAAAGCTGCAGCAAAATCACTGCTGACAAACAAGAAAAGACCTGAATTTTTGCTATTTACATTATCCTATGCAATTGAAAAGTGTGATTCAAGTATTCACTTGTGTTTTCTAGCACAATAATTTTATTTAACTGAAATTAATTTCAGGAGTCAAGAGCCCATCAAAGTAGGTAAAGAAGGGTCTGTTGTATCCAGAGAGCCTAACATCAGACTTTTAAGTTCTTCAGTTGTTTCACCACATTTATGAGCTTTCTTGGTTAATTTCAGCTCTGTTACCAGACAAGGCACTTGTAGGAGTATCTATAGTACTGCATGAAAGGAGGAAAGAAATTTGAAGATCTGGCCCAATCAGGTACCTTACCCATTTGTTCTGTGATAAAGGGCGGATGGAACACAGCTTGCTGTATTTTGGAAAGGCTGTTTTGTTCCTTCATCTTCTGGGTTGTGCATTAAGTTCCTCAGGAGTCACTATCAGAAAAAAAATACTGCACTCTTTTCAGTGCTAATAGGATCACAAGGTTTGATTTAATTTATTGTCTCTCTGTCTCATTCAATGTATGGTCAAGCACTGTTTGACAGCAGTAACTGTGTGTCACAGTTTTTATTTGTGTGCCACCTTGTGATAATATTTGAATGCTTCAGAAGGTCACAAATGAGCTCTTTTTAATCTTTACTCTAAAACCAAGAATTTGGCTGGCCCAAGTCTTGGCTGGCCCAAGTTAGGAGGATAGAGGATGAAATCAGGCAAAAATCAGAAACATTATTTTATACTTTCTTGTTTCTGCTATTCCTGTTGGCACATGTCAATACATACCTAGGCAAATTCCAATTGAACTTGAAAAACTGCATTAATAAAACCTTTTTGTATTTGAGATTTACATATATACGTATAATGAAATTTTTTTTGACACTGGGATATAGGAGTATATGAAAGGCAAGTATGTAGATCTGACATGATGTGTTTTATGCACTGGGAAAGCACAAGAAGTTTGGAGAAACACACTGTCTTTTACTTTTGGAGGACATCAACAGTGTGTAAAGGTCTTGCTACTGTCTAGTCATTTGCTTAAGCTGAGAGACCTTTTTGCTTGACTTTGCTCAGTATGCTGTTTTCATTGACTGCACATTATTTTCCTAAAGAATAAGGCACACACTGTCCTCAGGAATAATGTATTTTTTGAATGGTGAATGATCTTTTAATATTCTAAATATTGTTTTTTCAGACAAATGACTCGTATGACTAGACTATGCATGCAGGCTGCATTTGTGAAGTTTGACAAAGCTTTAGAACCTCAGTTTGTGCAAAAATGCTTTAGATCATTGCAGATCTAATCTATGAAAAGTTTGCTCTATGCATGCGCCCTTAGAGAGACTGCATGAGCAACTAGATTTTTTATATATGAAGTATTTGTTCAAAATGTGTTAATTATGCTTAACCAAATTCTGCATCTTGATTCAGACAAAAGAAATTTCCATTTCAGAAATGGCACAAAGTGCAGATATGTGATACACACCTCATTTCTTACAACTTTTTATTCTAAATTTGTGCCTAATGTGTGAGATCTGAATTTTGGTGAATAAAAAAAGGAAGATAAAAATTCTGTTTTATTTGCCATCCTAATGAGACGTTCCCTGAACTTTGTCTCTGCAAAGAGGGAGGCATTAGGAGTATTCACAACTGAGTGCTAAGGCTTGCCTGAATGTTGAGCTCAGGCTCCCACAGCACACTGACTGAGCATCCTTCTTTGGACATCTCGAAACAAGGCAAACGTCATGATGAGTTTAGTAAAGCCTTGGAAACTGTCACCGATGGCATTCTCCTGGAGAAGGTAGCAGCAGGTGCGCTCTTGGCTGTGTTAAAGCTGGATGGCCATGCCCAGAGGGTGGCAGTGAATGCTCTTTATCCAGCTGGCAGCTGGTCGGGAGTGGCTCTCCAAGTGAACCACTTCTTTTCGGGCCAGTTCTGTTTAGTGTCTTTGTCAGTGATCTGGACAAGGGGATCAAGGGCATCCTCAGTGAGTTTGCAGACAATCCTGAGCTGGGTGGGACAGTTGCTCTGCTGGAGGGCAGGAAGGCTCTGCAGAGGGACCTGGATGGGCTGGATCCATGGCCCGGGCCAGTGGAGTGCTCAGTGTGGCCAAGTGCCAGGTCTTGTCCCTGGATCACAAGAGCCCATGGCAGTGCTGCAGGCTGGGGCAGAGTGGAAAAGGGCCTGGGGCTGCTGGAACAGCAGCTGAACATGAGCAGCTGTGCCCAGGTGGGCACCAAGGCCAAGGGCATCCTGGCCTGTGTCAGAAACAGTGTGGCCAGCAGGGGCAGGGCACTGGTTGGACCCCTGGCACTGGTGAAGCCATGCATTGAGACCTGTGTCCAGTTCTGGGCCCCTCAGTGCCAGGAGACACTGAGGTGCTGGAGCATGTCCAGAGAAGGGCAGTGAAGCTGGTGAGGCATCTGGAGAGATTAAGTCGTAGGAGGAGTAGCTGAAGGAGCTGTGGTGTTCAGTTCGATGAGGAGGCTCAGAAGAGCCTTACCACTCTCCACAACTACCTGGAAAGATACTGTAGTGAGGTGGGAGTCAGCCTCTTCTACCAGGCAGCTAGGGACAAGACAAGGGAACATAACCTCATGCTGCACACAGTGAGGTTCAGGTTGGACATCAGGACGAATTTTTTCATTGGAGGCATTGGAAAGGGCTGTCCTGGGAGGTGGTGGGGTCACCATCCTTGGAAGTGTTCGAGAAATGACTGCACGTGGCACTTAGTGTTGGGATTTATTTGTCATGATGATATTTGGTCAAAGATTGGACCTGATAATTTTGGTGATGTTTTCCAACGTTATTGTTTCAATTTTTTCCTAACCCTTTTCATTAAAGGAGTTATAGAGAAAATGGTGACAGGGCTAAAATTTCAATATTGGTGATGGATGATAAGTGAGCTTTTGTTTTTTGTTAGATGTTTCTTTGGAAGTACATATCTTCGCTAGTATGAAGTACACATCAGCTGTGCCCTTCTCCAACAACAACTTGTCATAAATTGTGGTCTGTGGCACAATTAGGCTCAATTGTGTCCTCAATTGTGGAAAGCTCAAAAGGAAAATATCTAGACAGACTGGTAAATATATGTTAGTAGATAAATACCTTAATGGAAAAATTAGTACATTTCCAGAAATTTCCTTCATAAAAAGTTCTACAGAAGGAAAAATACCTTGGGAAACAGACTCAGGGCGAGTATTAATATGGGCAAAGACAAGAATTTTGGTAATGTTTTATTCTTAATGTGCCATTAAGATGATCAGTCTAATAATACTTGTAATGCACCATCCTTGCTGCGGCTTCCTCCACTGCAGACTCCAACTGGGAATGTTGCCAGGGAAAATTTCTGTAGCCATGGAATCCACTGGAGTTACCTACCAAGTCCTACATGGCCTTGTGGGACGTAGCAAATTTTTGCATTATGTCACAGTTTGTTTGGAGGC